GACAAGAGTGAAGCCTTCTTCACTCTTTTCAATGTCGTTCTAGTATTTAGTCTTGTTTCAAGACTTTCTAGTCTTCTTGTTTTTGGCAATAACCATTCTAGTTAATATTACATTACTTTTTTAGTGACTTTCTAGTTCTCTTGAGTGACACAAGAGTGTATCAAGGATTCTCTTTTTTTGAGATTCATATCTCTGACAGTTTGACAAGACTGCTAACATACTATTATTGTCTTATTTTAGAAGTGAGTGGATTATTCCACTTCTATTGTTGTATTTTGAAGGTTGTAGATTATCCACCTTTTAAACAAAAAAAGTCTTATTTTTTAATACTGAACTTTCTTTAAAGAGAGTGGATTACCTATTTTTATGGAAATTTTTATTAGAGGTTGTAGATTACCCTCCTCTAATTTAACTTTTTGGATTTGTTTGAGTTGCCTACGAAAGAAAAAATTATGGACACTATACCTAGTGGAAGTGAGAATAGATTTGCAACTATTGCAAATCTTCATCAGCTTGTCAATACTCTTAGAATAGAAATCTCACATATTTTTAATGTGAATCATGGAGGTACTATGCCTACATCTATAGAAGAAGTTCAAAGTTTGCAACAAGAGTTGTGCAATTGAAGGAAGCAAGTAGATCGACTTCATAACCAAATTCAAGGAGTTTTACTTCTACAAGTATGATGGGGACAAGGATTAGTATGCTTAAGAAGTTTGATGGAACAAGATCAAAATTTTGAGGATTTTTGCAACAAGTCAAGCTCTATCTAAATTTGCATCCTTTTCAATATCTTGATGGATTTACTCAAGTTGGATTCATAAGCACACTTCTATCAAGAAGTGCTCTCTCTTGGTTTACACCTTTAATAGAAAAAGATTTGCTACTCTTTTATGATTTGAACTCATTCCTAGAAGTATTTATGGCAACATTTGGAGAAATATTCGATAATCACAAAGAGACCAAACTCTTAACTTTACAACAAGGATCACGATCAGCTACCACATATGCTGCTAAATTCCAAAACCTTGCTTGCGATGTGGACTAGAATGACAAAGCACTCATCAATCAATTTTGATATGGATTAAAGGATAGTGTCAAAGATTTTTTATTAACAATGCCAAAAATAAAATCTTTGGAATAATTTATTACTCAAATCATTGCATACGACAATTCATTATTTGAAAGGCACCAAGAACAAAGACTTAGCTAGAGATGAATAAGTCAAGTAATGGCAACAGCTTCTAATTTTTTGAAACATATTCACCAAGGCCAAAATCAATGCAAATTAATACGATACATTTTAAAACTCTCACAAAGCAGGAAAAGACTCGATAACTAAGAGGGTTTGTGTTTATACTGTGGAGAAGCTAAGCACATTGCTCAACATTGTCCAAAGAAGCAATGCAATTACAAAATAAAGAGTACAATTACCAAAGAAGATAATGTGTCAAAAAACGAGTTTCTCTAACTATGATAGGGACTGTGTAGTTGGAATCATATACAACACCTAATAAAGGTCATATTCTCTCCTCAGACCCCTCACCTTGTTTTATAATAGATGTGCATTTAGTACTTAAAAATCACAAAGTCCTTGCCTTATTAGATTCAGGAGCCTTAGCTTGTTTTATAGACTAAGATTTTGTCAAAAATCAAAAAATACCTTTACTCAAAAAACTGAATTCGTACATGTAGAAGTCATAGATGGTCGTTCATTGTCTTTTGGAAATGTTATGTATGAGACTGTTCCTTTAGATGACTTAAACACATTTTACTTACCACTAGAAGTCCAATATTCAGAGGATGAGTTTAATTCTTCAGCTTCTTCTCAAGAATTTATATATACTCAACCAGAACAAGTTCACTCTTATAATCCACAGATTTATTCTCTTGATTTTTCAAATGATTTAACTCGAGCTTATAATGCTTCACTGTTGGCTTCTGGAGGATTTATCAATGGATGGATTGCTGACAGTGGAGCAATAGAACTTGTGACGTATCAATTACAATGGTTCATTAATTACAACCATTATCCCATCATTCTATGTGGCCAGTTGAAACTCCAGCTGGGCACACATCTTATGTCACAGGAACTGGTGATATTAAAATTCTAATATAATTACCCACTGGCAATGAAGTCCATCTGTTGCATTAGGTACTTTATATTCCGAGTTTTAGGAGAAATTTATTCGGTCTCAAAAAGGTAGCACAACATAAAAAATTTACACTTTGTAAAGATCACATGTGTCAGTTAATTCAAGACAATTAACTTATAATAATTGGTCGAATGCATCAAGGATCATATATACTTGATTTTACAGTTTTACTTCCTTCAGTCAATGTCTCATATGCAGCCTCCTATGGAAATATTTCATCATCAGAAGAATTACAAGATTTACATACATTGCATTTAAGACTTGGGCATTTGCATTGTGATACGATCAAGCGCATGGCTACAAACGGATCTATGACAGTTATTAAAATTAAAAATATTGAACCTCCTAGTATTTGTTCTTCCTATGCATTTGGTAAATCTCATAGAGCTTCATTTCCACGCAATATAACAAGAACTCGAGTATCTTCACCTGGAATGCTTCTTCATAGTAATATTTGTAGACCAATGAATGTTCCATCTCATGGTGGTTCCTTATATTATATTTTACTTCAAGATGACTGTACCCGATATCGTCTTGTATTTTGTATTCCATAAAAACCAGATGCTCTTCTTTGTTTTCAAAAGGTATGCAAGGCTATTTTTCGAGATACAGGTTACAAAGTACTTACATTGCGTACTGATAATGGAGGCAAATATTGTAGTAAAAATTTTATTGATTATTTACATCCAGAAGGCATTAAACATAAATTTACAATTCCATATACTCCTGAACAAAACGTAGCATCAGAAAGAGATAACTATACCATTGTGGAAGCAATTCGAAGTTCTATTTACCATTCACATCTAGATCTTGCTTTATGGGCAGAGGCAGTTGACAATATTGTTTATACATTAAACAGAACTTGTTCTTGACTTCTTCCTACAATTACACCTTATGAAGCTTGTACGGGTAAAAAGCCTGCTCTTGCTCACATGAGACCTTTTGGATGTAGAGTTTTCACACATATTCCATATCAATTACAAAGAAAGCTTGATCCTAAAAGCCAAATCGGATTCTTCTTAGGTTATTCTGATGAGTCAAAGGGTTATCGTACATGGGATCCAAAAAGGAAGCCAGTAATTATAAGCCGTGATGTTCTTTTTGCTGAACATGAATATTTTTCTCCCACGATATCTCCTGCTGTTGCTGAATCATCCAGAATTGCTTCGACAGATGTACCATTCACTCCATTACAGAAAATTTCTACCCCACAAAAGAATTCTACTCTAAATAACCCCGATCCAGATTCATCTCATAATTCCCAGCAACTACTGTTTTCTCCTTCCACTGCTCCTGGATTTGATAACCAATTGGATCACATGCCGACACTTCGCACTCGCCGATTATCATCTATTGAAAATACTAGTAATGATTCAGTGCAATGTCCTATTACTGATCATGCGAATACACAGCCTACTCGAGATCATTCGCAGACCCATAATACGCCTTCCTCATTCAATTCGGAACCTTCTTTAGATCAGATTTTAAAATTCAATTCTGAACAAACTCATTCAGAAAATTCAACTTCTTCTACTTCTGAGTCTCGCAATTCTGATCAACAGGCTTCGTCGGATTCAGAACACAATTTATTATCTTCCTCACAGGGACAACGTCGACCACCTCAACGTTTTGGTTACTCGCAGAATGATTGGAGATACTCTTCTGCCAATTCAGTTCACACTCTTTCTTCCATCTCCGCCATACCGTCTTTTGCGTACTCTTCAGTTTTATCCAATTCAGCTATCCAAGACATTCTGAAGCGCTTGCTTCTCCTAACTCATCACAATGGCAGCATGCTGTGCGGGAAGAATATGATTCTTTAATTCGAAATGAAACATGGACATTATCTGATCTTCCTTTTGGACGGAAGGCAATCAATTGTAAGTGGGTGTATGCCTTAAAAACTAAGCCGGATGATACCATAGATACCATAGATCGTTACAAAGCACGTTTGGTCGCCAACGGGTGCTCGCAAAAATTCGGTACTGATTTTCATGAAACTTACTCACTTACAGTGAAATTCGATTCCATTCGTCTTGTACTTGCCATAGTCGCAAGAGAGGACATGCACATCAGACAGTTTGATATTAAGACGGTTTTTCTACATGGTCAATTACACGAAGAAACCTACATGAAACAAGTGCCTGGCTTCGAGGATCCACAGAACCCGACTACATGGATTGCGCGAAGCGAGTCGAGCGTGGAATGAGCGTCTTACTACATTCTTATCAACTCACCAGCTTAAGCAAAATGCTGCCGCTGCATGTGTTCATTATTCAGATATGAATTCGAAATTCATTGTTCTCATTTTCGTCGATGATGGGCTCTATTATTGAATATTATAATATCAATATGATGGGCTCTATTATTGAATATTATAATATCAATATGATGGGCTCTATTATTGAATATTATTTTCTGTCGCACTCAGCGATTTCCACAAGCTTGGCTTTGCATCAATTCTGCACTCTTCATGTGCATCAGTTCACAACCCCAAGTCGCCGCCCTTATTGTTCCGTATAGTTACGCAGCCTCACCCCTCAATCGTACCTTCGGGTGCAACACTGCAGCTCTGCACATCCAACTCATGATCACCCGCATGGAGACACCTGCCAATCCATCACTCCTCTGCTCCTCCAAGTCACCGCTAACCAGAGCCATGACCTACACTCTCTCGTCACTCACATCCTCACCTCCTCTCGATACGTCCATTCCACAAGCTCCCAAATACAATCGCGCTCTGCACCTTGCATCATCAGGTTCCTCGCGTCAGTCAAGTAATAACGTGTGCCTCCCAAACATTCCCACTTTCTTTTCGTGCCCGCGAGACGCTGACAACAAGTCTCGTATGAATAACCCAACTGCCGTGGTGTGCCATGCTTATTATCGCACCCACCTGAGCTGAGACAGATTTATATTAATGTATGTATGTATCAGCACACGTCGCCTACAACTCGTCAGTCAGGAAAATCGCCGGATCCTAGTGTACAATGACAATCCTATACAAACCCTGCAATCGCGCAAACCGGCTTCCTGCAGCAACCGGCAGAGCGGTACGAGAGCGCAGAGACATCCATCCTAAGCGACTAAGCTGCTGCACCACTAAACTCCGGTTGTATGTCTTTCAGCAAACCCACGACCTGTTGCATCGTCGGCCGCTTCGAAGGATGCTCCGCCGTGCACAGGTACCCGATCCGCAGAGCCTCCAGCATCTCGCTCTCCACCTTCGAGCTCGCCAGCCTCGGGTCCAGGCACTTGTACCCCCGCTTCTCCCGGATCAGCGCGCGCACCCACCCCACCAGGTTCCCGCCGTAGCTTTCGTGATAGTATGGACTCGTCGGCTTCTTCCCTGTCACAAGTTCAAGCACCAGCACCCCGAAACTGTACACATCACCACGAGTCGTTGCCTTCCACAACTGGCCATATTCGGGGGGACTGTAGCCTGGAGATCCACAGTAAGCTGGAGCCTCTGAATCAGGTCCTCCAGTGACAGTGAGGGTCCCGAGCCCAGAGTCTGCCAGGTGAGGCTCATAAATCGAATCCAACAAAATGTTACTTGATGTTACTGCGCGGTGAACAAGGTGGGGACAACAGCCATGGTGCAAAAAGGCCAGTGCCCGTGCCACTCCCAGGGCGATGCGGTGCCGCACTTGCCAGCTCAGTACATCATTTCTCGTTTCGAAGTCTGGATTTTCCCATGTATCTTTGGACCAGTCTTCGGGATTTTGCTGGCCTGAAAACAGACATGTATCTTTTTAGTGCACCTATCACTTGATTTCTACTGGAAAAGGATCTATGTGTATCTCTATTTCACATTACCTATAGTCAATGTGGGGGTATTTCCATCACGATATATGAAGCGGAAAGATGTTTCTATTCATTACAAAACACGCTGTATGAAACACCATTTCGTCACTTGCAGAAAGGCTCCGACACTTCCAATTATTACATTTGAAGGTTATTTTTCAAGACTAAGAAATGGTCGTTAATTTAACTAAACAGCTAGTAGTTTTTAAGGATTATCTAAAAGAAAAGGAAGAGGGTGAATTTTTTACCACTAGGTAGTTCATGTAGGCAACTCGAGAGGTCACCGTTTTCCATGAACTCATAAACTAGCACTCGTTCGTCACCCACCAAGCAATAGCCAACGAGAGTCACGAGGTTGGGATGTCTGATTCTCCCTAACGACTCCAATTGTGCTGCTTTCTCATACTCGTTGACAGGACCGCCTTCATACAGAACCTTGACAACAATTTGAAAACCCCCAGGCAGCGTCCCTTTGAAGGCTGGACCATAACCTCCATCAGATATCTGATTGTCCTTATGAAAGAGAGAGGTGGCTTTCAGGAGGTCTGCAAATGTGAGGTTAAGAAGAGGCTTCTCGAACATTATTACTGGAATAGACCCGGCCTGCGGAACTTGGCCTGCCCATGTGCTTGGGTCCGCTTCAAACGTCACCGGGAGTTTACTCGAAAGGTACTTGGAGACCTCTCTGTCTGTCAGCTTCTTAGGCTTCTTTTTTATGAACAAGAGCAAAATGGTTAGAAACCCACAACATAACACTATGCTCCCTAATACAATCCCAATAATTGCTCCCACTTTTAAGAGGCGCCTCCGGTGTCGTCCATGATGTGGACCCGAAGTTCCTGGAGTAGGAGGTGAATAAGAGGAACAGGGTTTCTCCAACACCAAACCACAGAGGTGCGGGTTGCCTTGAAAAGAAGCACTGCCAAAAGCGGCCCATTGCTTTGAATTGGGAACTTCTCCACTCAAATTGTTGTAGGAAAAGTTCACATGGCGCAAGGAAGCAAGAGACGCAAGCTCGGCTGGAATCACATCTGTAAGGTTATTAAAAGACAGATCCAAAGACTCCAAAGATGCTGCTGCAGACAAACTCACAGGAATACTTCCATTCAAATGATTGTGAGAAAGATCAAGAGAGACCAGGCTCTTCAGTGCAGCAAATGAGTCTGGTATAGGCCCTCCAAGGCTGCAAGACGAGAGATTTAGGTAGGAGATCTTGGTCATTCCAGTAACATCTGGGAGTAGCCCTTCCTCAAATGAATTTCTAGCCAACCCCAGGTAGTTGATTGAGCTCAACCCGTTGAAGTCCCGTGGAAGGGGACCACCCAACTGATTAGAAGATAGCTCCAGCTTCTCCAGTGCTGGTAGAGTGACTATGCTCTTTGGAATGGTGCCAACAAAGTTGTTGCTGTGGAGATCCAACTCCCGTATTTTAGACGAAACATTTTCTGGTAGAGCTCCTGTGAAGTTATTGCCGGAAAGTCTCACAACTACCAGGTTAGGAGATGCAAATAACTCTGCGGGGACGCTACCGTTCAAAAAGTTGTTGCTACAATCCAGGGAGCTTATCATACTATCAGCCCATGCCAGTTGCGGAAGAGAACCTCCCAACCTGTTGTCCGCCACTGAGAGGTCCTGCAGATCAGACAGCCCAATCAAGGACGAAGGTACGCTGCCATTGAATCTATTCGAAGAGAGTGACACTTTAAGCAACTTTTTTAAATTTCCAAAACCCGGAATTTGCCCCTCCAATGCGTTTCTAGAAATGTCAAGAGTCTGTAACCCTTCAAGCCTCTCAAATTGCCAAGTTAACGCTCCTGTCAACGAATTCCTGCTCAGATTGAGCAACTTCAATGTAGTGAGACTGTCAAACGCCCAAGGCACCTCTCCAGTCAACTGATTAGACGAAAGGTCCAGGTTCTGAAGAACAGGGTTTCTCTGCCTAAGCACAGGAATGTTTTCAGAGAAATTGTTTGAATGGAGATCTAAAACTTCTAGAAACTGCAAATCCCCAAGCTTCGAAGGCAAGGGCCCAGAAAGCAGGTTCTGTGAGATATCTAGAGTGGCTAGCTGCACAAGTTTGCTCACCATCGGAGACAAGCCACCTGTCAACCTATTCTGGGCAAGCCTAATAAACGAAAGGCTGGAGAGATTGTAGATGTCTAGAGGAATTTCTCCTGAGAGAAGATTATTTGACAAGTCAAGGAACTGCAATGAACTGAGAGCGCCCAATGTATCTGGCAAAATGGTTCCATTTAACCCACGACCACTTAGGGTAAGAGTCCGTATCTGTGCACGGGGTCCTAACCCGATGCAAGTCACAACTCCTTGCCAGTCACAAGTAGGAACCGATGTGTTGAAGTAAAGCTTGAAATCCGGCAGCACATTCTTCAAAAAATTAAAAAGGTGGGTCTCATCGGGTGTCTGTGCAGCGACGCCTGGGAAAACAATCGTCGTCAGTAGCAGCAATGTAACCACTGTAGCATTCGGCCCCGCCATAACCAAATGAGTGTCACCCCTAGAGGAGTATCGCCCTTTGACAGCTACTCTCGATGGCATCATGTTTCTGCATCTCCGGAACCCTGAAATTCCACTTGCTGAACAGTTCCCGCTACAATGTCACTGAGCAGGTCGCTGCGCTTCATCTGTTTGGCACACCAACTTGTAAAGTAATAAAATGTGATGACCTAAACACCATCGCACTGCATCGAATGTCTTGGAACGTGAACTTCCGAGATGAGGAAAAAGAAGGCTGCTGACTACCATTGCAAAATGATGTTTAGCCTAGCATCATGTAACATGAAACATTGCATCCTCATGAGACGAACGACATGAAAGAAACACTCTTCGCCACTTTCACTCCCGTCGCCAGAGATGAGCCTCCTGGTAGTAGGTAGTCTTCAGCGACCAGGTTTGTGAAACTGTCCGAAAAATACCTGCAGACTACTCGGGTTTACTTCCCGACGCCGGCATCCTAGTACACCCTTGCCTAATGCCTACTCTCTCAATCGCAATGCAGAGAAAACTAATCCGTTTTGTACAATGTTTTGACAATGGAGTTTCCACTAGCGAAATCAACCAGACTGCTTAGAGTCACTCCCATCCAATCAATGCACTGTCACATTTTCAATTGTAGTTTTACTCTGAAATCCACAGTCCTCTTCCCGCTTCTTTCACAAAAATCTCTTCTCCGGTACACCCTCCAAGCAATGCTATATCGAACTTCCCGCCAAACACAAATCGCAAAGTGCATGAAACGTTGTCCCCTAAACTCGAAACAAGTGTACCAAACAACCCGTCTCTCCACGTCCAAAATCACCACGCCACTTCATCTGCCGTTCAATGCACATATTAGCGCTGAAAAAGTTCACTATGGTCTACGCAACACTCGTCCACCGCTGCGAAACCTCCAGTAATACTCGCTACCCACACGACCTCTTCAATCCGGCGCTCAAGCAGGAAAGGACGCTGTTCAACAGTTCTAACAACCTCCAAGCACGGCACATCCAGAATAGTTACACCCCACGTTAACACACCAGTGGCTTCCTTTTCGCGTGCACGCTCCAAAGCTGATCAATGCGGCAGCAGCAAAAGTCATCCCACGATACGCACAACAGCATAACGCCGGCGCACCAGTCGAAAGACGAGCCACCAAGGACTCTACTGCCAGCAGAACCGGGACCCAGCAGAGCCGAGTTGGGGCAACAAACCACGACACTCGCCAGTGGCATGAGCAGCGAGGAACAAACTCCCTCGCTTCCAGTCAATCACGCTCCAGCCTGGCAAATTACCGACCTCCGTAGATCCACAACCTCCCAAAAACACCAGTTTGTCTCATCTCTGAATCGAACTAGAGAACGACATCGTTGCCAGGTATCACCACTGCACCGATCACCAGGATAGGCTCATTCATCGACCGGGCTGGAATACCAAATCGTCACCGTCACGGAGCACTGGTAGCCTGGGGCATTGAGTCGCACCCAAAAGTATCGGCACGTTTTCCCTGCAATTAAAAGCAAGCAAGATCTGGAATGGCTGCAGTTACTGCAGTGCATTAAAAGCACTCGTTTGAGGCGCTAATAGTGGTAAGAATGGTGAAGAGACGTTGATTTTTATTCCGGATCTGTGGCAGTCGCCAGAGAGACATTCACATTGAGAGTTCGTCGTCGCACCAGATCTCTCCACTAAGAGCTTGCTGCCCTGAATTTCTGCAGAGGGTCCAGGTAAATAAAGCAGTTTGCTCCCAGATTGAGAGTGGCTCTATTTCTCGCTGTCACTCTTCTCTCTCTTTTTGTCTATGCTAGATTGAGAGGTCAACTGGAGAATTTCGGTTGTCGATTTCAACTAAAACCAATTCGGTGAGTTTCATTAAGTGTGCAGTAATTTCAGCACCTAAGGTGGCAGACTTGCCGTTGGGAGGAGGTTCCAGTTTAGTTTGTTCTTTTTTCATTCATGTATATGTATATATATATATATATATATCTATATGTTTGTGTAGATGTCAACCATAGAATGTCGGAGGAAGGGCATATTTCAGTCCCGGTCGTGGTAGGCTTGTCATTCATGATGAAGCGCATTGAATTACGCAAGCGAGACCCACACATTTGTTCAGTTTATCTTTTTTTCCATTCACAATTTGTATCTTGCAGAGGTCTTCTTTTTTCTTTTTCTTTTTTAATGGAAAAAGTGATAAGGTGTCATGTTACGCTTTCATCGAACTTTTCACCTTGTAACCTATAGTTATATGTATTTCAATGCAATTATTTCTTACATGAGTGCAGCAACAAATACAGAAATCTCTATTCTTTATTACATTCGAGTTTTCTTACCAAAGCATGTGATTAATAAAGTCACTTACTGTGGAGTCTTCATGTGTGTAACCCCACTTTAAAAGTCTTTCAAAGTCTTTGAGGTTTTTATTTAGCAAATAAATTTCATTCTTTAGAAGGTTAGGTATTTAGAGATAGTATAAAATAAGAAGTTCATATGAAATGAAAAAGATTTACTTGAGCTACTGTAATTTTTATATGTTGTTATATTCCATACTTTGATTCTGAAATGTTTCTAAAGTAATATCAAATTTTGGTTTTTTTTTTAATTGTATTTCGAATGTATCATTTTAGCAGTTTTTGGCACGTATTTTTAATTGTTATAAAAATCATTTGTTAAAAAGGGTGTGATGCAAGTTTTCAAGGACAACATCGTCATGTCATGTCATGTACTCAAGAAGTATATTTCACTTTATTTTATTTTTTCTCATAACTTTATTTTTGTCAATTTTTATGAGGACAAAGCCAACAAATTGAGACTTCTCAATTTTAGCCAATCACACGCTTTTAAAGTTGCACCCTCTTGGTTTCTCAACCAAGCATGAAGATTCCATAATGCTTTTTTGAATCTTATCTTTCATGCTTCAACTTTTCATTTGAAGACTGTATTCTTGGCTTGAGCATTCCAGTGACCATTTTCTAGAATTGTCTGCGTGGTTTCAACAAACTATTTACAATTAATGCTTTAATTGCAACTACATTGTATATGCTTCAGCTTGTTTGTCACCATAATCATAATCAAACCACAATAATAAGATACAAGTGGAAGGAAGTTTTTTTTTTGTGACGTTTAGTTGATAAGATTTCACATAATAGATAATAGTCGTGAAATCTTATCAACTTAACGTCACCAAAAAACTTCCTTCAGACAACTGAATAGAAATATCCATAAAATTTGTCATGTTTTAAAATGATAATGAAAACAGATTATCAATTCATTTGATGGCTTTTTTCCCAGCAAATGATGAATTAAAAGGTGAGGTTTCCATGCTTGCTTCATAAAAACCAACACAGCCATCACATTATCCTTTCTTAGTATTTTTACTTTCGAAGAGTAAAATTCTATCAGTTTTTGTACCCATTTACAGATATGGTCTAGCCCTAAATTCATTGTTTCAGAATTACCTGGAAAGGTTGATTAGGTCAGCAGGCAGAAAGGGCAGGAAGAAGATAGAGCTGAGCTCGAATTGGGGTTTCGAAGCAGTCTGTTGTCCCACACGAACTGAATATAAGGCGCTCGTAGTTTGACCTCTCGGATCCTTCACTTCCATCCTTGGATTCTAAGGTCAGGGGCAATGGGATTCAACTCACGACCTTCGCCAGATTCGGCCGAATGCGATTCTGCTTTAGAATGGCAAATTCGGCCAAACTGCGCGCCGAGCGGGGTCCGGATCGCTCAGCTCCGTGTACCACCAGTCAATTCCCTTCCAAGGCGGCGAATGCTTCAACCTTCACTCCCTTCCTGGCTCTCGCCCACTGCCGCTGCGCAACATCTGGGCGATCGTCCACGTCCATCCCAATTTCCGCTTCGGCGGTGAAAAGCGGGCGGGAGTGAGGACAAGACCCACAAATATTCTTCGATTCATGGTGTCAGTCCCTGCTTCGGCATGTGATCTGGAGACAATGTCCTCCCACCTTTTGCACCTCCTTCTTCTTCTTCTTCTTCTTCCTGTGGAATTGCATGTTTGTGGGTGTTGTTTTCTTTTTTCGAAATTAGGGTTTGGGCCTGGATGCAGTGTGAACCGTGATAATTTGGGGCGTGTTTTCGTTCACACTTGAAGAGTTCCGGCCCCTTCGTCTAAAGTCAATTATGCCTGCTTCCCAGAACGGTCAGAAAGTCCGCTCTGTGAAGGGAACATGGATGAATGAACCTCGTTCCGTTGGTTAAATGAATGAACTATATCATTCATCGTAACCATCGAGAATACATCAATTCTCATTCGTTCCCATTGGATGAATAATGTTATATTCATCCATCGTTGTCTTCCTGTTCATTTGCGTTCGTCGTTCATTCGTTCAATTCATCCATCCATCCAGACCTAGTCAATACCATTTGTTGATGAGTGTGGGGTCTACCCACTTGTACCAAAAGAAAAATCAAATCTAACTAGTGCTTCCAAACTTTAAATAAAAATTACCTTTTTTTTCTCAAGAAAAGTAGTTATCTCCATTCTTGAGTATGTATGTATTTTTATTTATTTATTATTTATTTTCACACCAACCAACATAAATAAATAAGTAATAAAAATATATTTAGCTAATTGGGAACCATGCTTAATATTGGAGTACATGAGTTTTATGATCTTCTAGTTTTGTTCTAATTTATTTTTTAAACGCGTCACTTATAAATTTGAAGTAAAATTTTGGTTTGATTAGTATGTAAATAAATAAATAAGTGAACTTTGAAGTTTTTCAAAGTTTACTTATGGTGTAATAAAAGTATGAGTAATAAAAGTAGAGGTTTTCTTAACTTAGCTCATATTTTGTTCATAATATTGGATAAGATAATTTTCTTGTGGTTAAAAAATTATGTTAGGTTTTTGTATCTAATAATAAGAATAATAAGGCCATTTTATGATTAAAATAAATATGGGTCCTTCAAAATTAGAAAAATTTATTTTTTATATTAATACATATCAAGATTAGGCCAATATATCTTGTTGATATACTTAAATAATTTACTTTGCAACTGTTCTTATTATTTTTAAAAAATAATTTATATTATATTTTCTTGTGGATGCTTCTAGTATTTTTTTCACAATTTTTTTTCATTTTTTTTGTTTTTTTGTTTTTATGTGCTTTGTTATTATTTGATTTATTATTTTATTACTACTATTTTTATTAAAATTGTAATTTTATAATTTCTTAACCTTCATGTTAGATATTATAGAATGTATTACAATATATTAGTGTAATATTTCTATAAAAGTTTATATTAAAAAGAATGGTAATTTGGTGTTTGTGCAAATTGCTCAGTATAATATATTAATAAAAACAATGTGCACAATTGTTATAAAAAATAAAAACTACAAACTAATATTGAAGGTTTGATTATTTGAAAGTTTTACTTTCTAAAATTATCTTTAAAGATGTTTACAAAATACATATATTTTTTAAAAAATAATTAAAAAGTGCTACTATATTTTTGTTAGCATATATATATATATATATATATATATATATATATATATAATCATCCATATATTTGTATATATCTCTTAAATAATAATAAAAATTTCAACCAAATTTAATGAATAAAGTGTTAAAGTCTAGAGATATTAAAAAGATAGTAATAATAAAGATTATCAAAAGCAAAAATTAATATACATTATATACAAAAGCCAAATACAAAAAGTCAAATCATCACTAAATTTAACAAAAAAAATTTGCAATTAAAATTCAAGTATAAGGTATTTATCTATATTTAAATTGATATTATGATAGGGAGTTGAAAAATGATGTCTCTATATTTCTTCTTGCTCTTCTAATCTTAAATTACAAAAGTTACTTGCAATAGATTTTTCTTTATAAGTTTAAATATGATATTTTAACTACATTTATAATTTTTTTGTAAAAAAGATAATTTTTGAGCATGTCATGCTATTGTATTTAGTATAACCAATCATAAAAAGCTTAATAGAAGAAAATTTAGATATACAAGTGTTCAAAGAGGACAAATCTAAATTGACAAAACTTTCAAAGGAATAACTTATGATAGATTGTCCACCTCAAACATATCTATTGGCCCAATATGAAAAAAAACCAACGATAAAAAAAACACTCTCAATCTATACTTGGGCCTTGTTTTATCAAACCACACAAATTTGGTTTATATAAGTTGCTTCAAATGTTATCTTTATTTACACATGTTAAAAAATATATATTTCTAATATTAGCCAAAGTAGAATGTCTTGGTGACTACCACCTAAAGACTATATCTTGGTGAATATCCACAATCAACTAAAGAAAAAGGATTTGGTTGCACAAATAATGAATCCTAAAACAACTAGCCTTGCACTAATCTATCCACCATAATGCTATAAAACCAAGTCAAGAGCCACTTGAAGAACAAAAATCCTATTTAGAAATTAGCTCTTAGATCTGAAAAGAGACAATACCTTTCAGGAACGTAATTTGTTGAGAGTAATATGTCCACTGGGATTGTGATGCAATTGTGATCCAGAGAGCTACGGACATCCTGAATCCGTTAGGAATCCGAGAGACCGTTACAGTTTCAAACCTGCTATTACAACTGGGAAAATGTCAAGTTCTTGTGGTAGCCGAACCTTGTGCACACTCGGAGATCTGTGGAGGAGCTACAAAACCAATAGGGTACTTCGACAACGGTTGGCCTCGACATGGACCGGTTTGCATTTAACGAAGAAGAAAAGCTGTTGTTGGTAACAGATCAACGTGAAGTATACGATGGGTGAGAGATCAAAGCAGGTGGGTTAAAAGTGTCTCACCAAATCCACGAACCGCCAGCAGCATCACTGTGCTCCCTCAAATTCGCAAGTCGGGTGAACATGTTTCGTTCTGTGCTCTCTGTACATGAGAAGTAGGAAACACAAGGCGTCAAAAGAAAGGGCATCAGAGATCAATGGTTACCTGTGACAGAGAATAAAAGAGACAAAAAAAAATGAACAAAAAATAAATCTTTGTTACTTACTGCAAGTTGTAGCGGCGTCTTGGTGTTGTTCCACAACACATTTTGTTTCTCCGCGCAATGAGTTCAGTTCTTTTTTAGTGTCTCGATTCTCTTTCAGTTCGTACTCTAATGGCAACTTTGATCTCTTCGCGGCAATATGGAATTGATAATTAAGCAACTGACTAACTGCACAGTGAGCTGAAATTCTAGCAGAGAGCAGAATCTGAACCGAGATATAGTTGAAGCTCATGAAAGGGCTAGCAACGAATGGAAGTAGGACTGAGATACTTGGTGTGAAATTTCAGCTAGCTAAGGAGCAAATCGGTGCATGGAAGGGGTGACTTCAAAATGAAAGACACAAATAAGTAGGGTTTAGAATTACCCACTAGATAGAAGGTATAAGTGAGGAGGAGACTCGGTGAAAGAGAGAGGAATACACAACCCAAATTGCCCAAAAATGGGGTTAATGCATTTGTATGCCGAGTCCGATCATCGCAGGTGTGGGATGGCACGTGCATCTTCTAAGTGGAACTGGAACCTTGTTAAAGCAGAGCTCGGTCATGTAATCACCTCAACCTTTCCAATCTTCAATCATAAACTGGAATTGTTTCAGTAAAGTGGATAGTAGTCATAATACACACACTACAAAAAAGCATGAATCTGTACTGCTGTTGCTAAAGTCCAAGAAAAATGTTACGTTCTGATCTTTAGCACAATCGTTTGGGGTGACACTCCAGCCAAGAAGAGTCACGCACAGGATCCGCGATCCTCACTTCATATACGGAAGACCCGGTGAACGAGGTGCTCTTGGCGTCAAAGAAGGTGGGTTGCCACAAGTATGTCTAAGAAAAAACAAATGTTCTAATGCACAGCTTGACCGAACAACAATGCCAATATTTTCTTAAGAGTTGAAATTCAAAACCATTTCATAAGACATGCTGCTCTTGCACACAATAGAAAATTTAGCAGAAATCACAAAAACGTTATTGGAATCACATTTACTTGGGGTGTGTACAGTGATAGAGCATCCCGAGACGGTTGCAGCACCTCCGCAGGAACGTTATGGTGCTGATTTCAAGAAAATGAACAAGGCAGCTGCCATCCAGTAAGGAGAAATAGCTTGCCGTGCCTCTGGAATCTTTTACCATTCCCATAGTTCTCTGTAACCACGTGACGCAGTGACGGTAGTTCTGTTGATGTCATTTGTTGACCTATTGCAGATCCATGAGCTGTGAAATCTCATTGTTTTGCCCCCGTTTGTTGTGAATCTGCAGCCATTATTGTAAAGCAAACGAACAGCGAACTGCCCGGGAGCGATTCTTCTGCCATATACAACCTAAAAAAGTCCTTGTAAAAAGAACAAATCCAGAAAAGCGTTCTCCATTCATGTTGCGCGTAAATTTGTAATGCCTGCAGTTGCAACAGAAGTGTACATGATGAGGTCTTGTGTTATATGAATTCTTGCATCTTAATTGAATGGGAAATTGCCACTATTTAGCTCGATGAATGAAGAACACATAAGAGCTCTGCTTCATGTGTATGTTGTTTTGTGCAGAACACAACATGGAAACTACCCTCAGACAACAACCCAAATCATAGATATGGGATTTCACACCCCGGGTAATACATTCAACTTCTGCACCAAAGTTCTACACCCTAGAATATCATTCGACTGCTTCGACAATGCCAAAAATAAGTCTTGTGTGTGTACCCAACCCGTGAATCCCGCATTGAATTTCCTTCTGAATGAGACTACGCTTTCCAATTTGGTATGTGGTATTGCATCCAATTATGCAGAGATGGAAACTTTGAGACGCTGATAGCAGGTGGATACCAAGATGACTGGGTCGACATGAACGAGTACTTCAAGTCAAGGTATCCAGAGAAGCACGCGGAGGCACCACGGCGAATGGAGGTCATCACCAACAAAACTTTCGAGCTATCAAAAGATTTCATCAGGGACAAGTTTCATTCCCAGGCACCTCCGAAGAAGAGGTTCATCTTGTCCCGATTCCAGAACGTGCCTAAGCGGATCGACAACTACAACTACACTGAGTTAAACCGTGCTCCCCCATACCACAAACCTCACGGATGCGGAGGGCGACATGCGCCTCCACCAGGCGGCATATACAAGATATGAATATCAACAATATCAACAACAACAACGATCGAAGGATTCCTCGACTTGTACCGACATTGAGCAAAAACTTACCCGCACCCGAAAACAACCACTAATGGGGGACCCAATTGTGCTGCTGATGAGATACGATTTTTCTAAGCATGAAAAAGCACATGGTGAATTAAAAAAACCTGCACACCCTAAACCTTTTCTACGTTCCTGCAACTGGCCCGCCAGTTTGCAAATTAGGTCAAGGGAAATGCTTCCTTCTCATTGAAGACCAGAACCTGGAGTTCACAGCACATGTGTGGGGGCCAATCCACTAGTGTCGCGTGAAGCCATAGCTGAAGCAGATCTGCAACGATGAACACCTTCCTGTCTCGTCGAAAACACAGATCAAGTGTGCAAAATCCTTGGGGATCCACAAGTCGAAAATGGCATTGAATTGTTCCGCTTCGGAAGGAAAATCTCACCGACTCCAGTGAAGAATGCCGACAGCTGCCGTTGCCATGACCATGTGTGCAATTCTTAATGGAAAAGTGAAGAGTGTAGAAAAGATTTTTGTCTTGGAAAGGATGGTTTTCTGCTGTAAAGGTTCCGTTTTGGTGATTCATTCTTGTGTGTAGAAAATGAGGAAGAGTGTGATGAGTCTAGTGAAACAAACTGAATTGAATCCTCATTTAAACCAAATTCACTCCCCATGGATTCTCTTTAATTTGGCTTGACATGGATTCTGCTTTGGAATAATATTAAGTATGGTATTATGCATACATTCAAAAATTTACCAGAATAAAATCAATAAACTCAAAAGAACATAGATAATGTGAATCTAATTCTAAACCAAGAGTGTAAAGCTGAAAGTTGTAAATTAAAAATGAACCATGTTTAACACAAATAAGACTGGTGTTTTTGTAATTATTTATTCTTCTTTCATTAATGTTTACTCGATTATAAAAATTTCTCAAGGATAAACAATTAAAAAGAAATAGTTTGTTGAATGATGTTATAGAATCAAGGATAAAAAATTAATGTTATTGACCAAACAATTCAAAAAATAAGTTGATTTGAAAATAAAAGTTTTTTTTGTTTGGTATCACATTTACACATTGAATTTTTGTTTGTGAAGCATAGTTTAATAAAATTGAGCATTGCATATAATTTTTCTTTATGTTTATTTTATGTTTTTATCTATTAAAAGTACCCTTGTAAAAAACTAGTGGAAACTCATGTTGTTGGCTATGGAAAAGTTGAGACATTTCAATTTGCCAAACAGAAATCAACGTCTAAAGAATTAAAACTCCAAATAAAACAAAACAAAAAAATGAATAATAATGAAACCATTCATGTTTCTTCAATGTTATTCACAAAGGCAATTCTTGTTTACTTTAGTAGCTAGAATGACTAGTTTATTAAAAGAAAATTGTGATTTTTAACAACAAAAAGGCTTCTTTTATCTTTATGTTATACATATATAGATTGGAGTTTGTTTGTTTGTTTGTTTGTTTGTTTGTTTTTTTTTTTCCCTTTCTCAAGTATGAATTTAATCATCAATAAATGATCCAAAATTTGGTTTGTTTTTCAGCTATGTACATAGTGCATTCTTTTAAATCTCTTTATTTCTCTTTATTTTTATTAATTGTTTTGAAACTACTTTTGCATTCATTATTGATTGACACGTTTTTTTTCAAAACAATGTCAGTTGACCTAACAATGTACAATTTATTTGAAAGTGTACAATGTCAATGGTATCGATGAAAGGTTTCTTCATTTTATCTTTCTTAAATCGATCGCTTTATCAGTGACCACATTTATTTTTTAAAAAATTATCTCATCATCATGGTTGAAAACATTCAACAAAGTTAAACAATAGTTATGGGCAAATCAATAAATTTGTACTACATTCCTTCATTGATTTTTCAAAAAAACTAAACATGGAACCCTTGGTTCCAATTCAAGTGTGGCTTGTAACACTTACGAATACTACAATACAAAATGACTTATGAAGTGCATAGGTTGTGCAAATTGAATTTGCCCTCTTTTTCACCTAAGTTATTTCATTTTGCAAAAAAGATAGGACTGTTTTAAAACAAGTTCTTTTCATTCTTAAGAATTTTTCATTCTTTTTGGTTAAAAATATTGTTTTCTTTGTTTAAAGGCAGAGATTGAGATACCAATTGTTTGAGAAAGCAGATGCATTGAGGCCTTAGAAAGTTATAATTCTTGTGGGCATTTCCACATCTCTATTACTCTCTACACGGGTTTCCTCATGTCTTTCTACTTTTAGGGTATAAAACATACAATTAATTGGTTATTTTACAATAGGTTGAGTATTCTTATTTGAAAAAGCGTGAACTAAAATGTTTAATATTAAAAGATAAGGTAGTGACAAATCGTGCAAAAAAGAACATGTTGTAAAGCAACGCAACCATGATACAACCAAAAAAAAACCTTTCTAACAATGAATTTACCATTCTGTTGTGTATTGAAATCACCTTTGTTGTCACATCCAGACCACCCAAAAACCAAAAACCATGTTCTTGTTGCAAATGCAAGTCAAATGAAAGAGTCAGGCTTCAAAAATCATAAAATATCATTCACCTTATTTTCCATTCATTGCACAAATAAAGTAAAATTATGAACCCATATGTAATACATTCACAATGAGCACACTTACATACAGATAATAATAATAATAATATACCCTAAGAAACATACAACAGACACAAACATAAACACAATATACACATTCTCAATATCAAAGTGGGGACATGCCACACATTGTGGCACACAATGTGAAACAAATATCACACCCTATGAAACGTCAAATAAAAGCGCAAAAAGCAGTTGAATTAGGATGCATCGCGCGGAAGAGTTAGGGTTTCAAGTGTGCATAGAATTAGGATTTCGAGTTCCTTTCGACAGAATTAGGGTTTCAAGGCTGTGTCGGTGCTGTTGCTTTCCGAGTTCAGGAAAGCGTCGATTTTGCGGGGCTGTAAGCAAGCATTCTTCCCCCGTGTGCAGGTGTGCAAGCGGCTGCGGATGCCCACGAAGCACGCGTGGAAGCGGATCAAACGGATCCCCGTCGGCACAAACGACTTTGGGAAAGCACGGCACCTAAGCCGCACGAGATGCCCCGAATCCTGTGATCGGTGACGCCGGACACGCCATTTCGATCTCGCATTGGGGAAATTCCGCATTTGGGTGGAAGTGGCACCCGAGATAGAGTGCGAGAGCTCATGGTGGGAGCTCCTTGCCAAGGCATGGAAGAGGCTACTCGTGATGATCTTGAGAAAGCCACAAGGGTATTGATGTTGTGGCCGTGGAGAAGTCATTGTTTGCCAAGCCATATTACATGTATTTGATCCAAGGGGAAGGAGAAAAGCAAAACACAGGCATGCATGCTGCTGCGGGGTTCATGAGCTTGTGGGTTTAATAACTCTCGCTTCATGAAACTCCCACTGTGTGTATCTGTAGTGTTGCTTTTAGTATGCTCTTCTTTTTCTCTTCTTGTGTGTTTCTTCGGGATCTGCTCTTGAGTTCTTCTTCCACTATTGGGTTCCATGGCACAGGTCCATTATGTTCAACGTTAAAGATGACACTAACCTAGACTTTAGACGCCGTATTTTGCTCGGGAGAATCAAACCAGAAGCAGTAGTGAGCATGACATTCAGTGATATGGCAAGTGAGCAGAGGAAGAAGGAAACGGAGGGTATCAAGGCTAAATCTATGTTTGAATGCGAGCTAGGTGCAACGGCGGTGGCTTCCACCGATCAATTCAAGTGTGGCAAGTGTTTGCAGCGAAAAACTACTTATTCGAGATGCAGACAAGGAGCTTGTTGAGTTCTTATGCTCATTGGAAATTTTGTTTTAACCATTTCAAAATCTGGGTGTTTAGTGTTTTTTTCACAGTTACAGCTCACAGATGGTTTGTTCAACCACGACAAAGATGGTTCATTTGTTCAAAAAGTTGGTACATTTCTGTTATTTTGGTTGAAAAGCCAAATGCAACAGGAGGTTACAGAATTGGGTGATACGTTTTGTTCAAACGACTCGGTGCGCAAGCTTATTCGCTTCACCTCACGTTTTTGGAACACCCAAAATAACAGTGTGAGGTGGAGAATGGGAGCTATCTACCATGCACAAGCATGTTCCTCCTGCATCTTTTCACGAGATAATATATATCCTCTAACTTCGTAGACAGAGTTAAAGATCTTGCAGATAACATGCGAATACAAACGCAAAATAAAAACACAAAAAGCCAACAAACAAACAATTAAATATGTTGATGTGAGGTTTTTTAGTTGGGGGCCTCGTTGATATGATGCGGAGGGAAAGTGATTAGTGTAAAGCATGTACATATCCCATTTGCAGACACAGTGCGGATTCATTGCTGTGCCACATGAAACGTTTCTACATGCTATCTGGGATCTATATCCACAAGTTTTGTCATGAATAGTAACAGATGCTTCAGTCTCATAAAGAGCCACACATGCGCAAAGAGTCAAAACAAAACCAAGACCAGTGCTCCAGGGTGGAACCAAATGTTAATCGGTTTTTCATTGCAAAATCACACCAAACAGTTGGTGTTATACATGGCCACAGCCACGGAAAAAGAATAAGAGTCTCAATCTCACACACAGCCTTTTGGCTACACAGTGAACAGATGGACAACGTCGTAATTCAAGAGTTTTTGCTTTAGTATAATAAGCTGCCAGCAGAAATCAGAAGAGTTGCTAGATGAGGAGCAGCCCCTGCCATTCCAGGGCTGGAAAACCATAGACGCGTAAAATAAACGCCGCTATTTACATACCTTGAATCCAAGTCACTCCATTCGCAGCTGGAGAAAGCGCTCATCATTATACAACCTGTAATTACACGATAGTCACAGCAAATGCCGCGGAATGCATACACTTAGGTAGCGTAGTTGACATGATTGGAGTAGTCCCGGGTGCCGGCGCCTTCCCACCCCATCCACTCCTCCCAGTCCTCCCAAGAATCACCGCTTACTCCTGCGAATCCTTCTAGATTGTCCGACAAGTCGTCCTCAAACTCCCCGAATTGAGGGGTTGACATGCTCAGAAGCGACTGCAGGAACACGCAAGATGCACACAAGATCAGATACCGTTCCTCACAAGACGTACCTCTTCTTCAACCTATTTACGGTACTTACCGTTAGCGATGAGAAAACCACAAGAAGAAGCGCCAATCGAACTCCAGTGCTTACTGATTTTGAAAATTCAGATAATTCCAAAGAGAGTGAGAGGAGTACCTCGTAAGCATGGTTGATTTGTTGGAAACTTGTGGTGCAGTGATTGCCGTCACAGACATCAGGGTGGTATTGAAGCGCAAGGCGTCTGTAAGCTTTCTTGATCTCGTGCTTGGTAGCGCCAGGTGAGACACCGAGAGTGGAGTAGGGGTCCTTCACAGATCCGCCGGTGTACGCCATCGTAACCATACCATACCCAGATTTCCGTTTGGGACTGGAGCTTGAACCCAGAGCTCCAACACTCTTCGGTGAGGAGGAAACCAGGTACTCGCCCTGGAACGCGCTTCGGCAAATAGGAATGGCCTTGCTGGTGATCATTTTGGAAATGTAATGTTCACTGGGACACTTTGAGTGCGTCCTTCCTGCTCAACTCTATGGCTTCAAAGATAAATACTCCTTTACACAAGACTTGTCGAATGCTTCCACACTCATTCAAATTCTTCGACTTAAGCGTCCAAATGGGTCGTGAACAACCGAGAATGCGACCGTCGCTGACCTTCGCAAAGATCTATTGCAAGACGTTATTGTGATTTCGACAAATTGTATCCGCGATAACAGCACCTAGAAAAAGGTACACTCTCACTCTCGCAGCACAGAACTTGGCTAAAACCAATCGCCGCCGTTGCTCAATCAAAAACCTCCCCTGTACCGCTCAAAAACACACTGCAAGCGAAATGCCACTATGCCTGCAAACAGGAACCGAGTGAGCGTCACGCAAATGCAATCACTGCACACTACGAAGGACAGTTGAGAGCGCGACAAAGGGAAGAGAGTTCCGTGGGGGAGGCAAATGTTTTATAGCTCTCAAACCACGGCAATGGGTCTCCTCCGGCGAGAGGAGTGGGCTCCACAGATACCCTCCCACAGAAATTCGGGGTCTACAAGGCAGTCGGCCAAGACGTGTGCTAAAATTTAGCACAAGTTATCCTCAGTTGGGCTCTCACCAGTGCCTTGTGCAAATAGAGCTCAGTAATTTACATATAAAAAAACAAACAACAACTGCAAAGAGTTAGTACGAACGCTACTTTCCATGTACCCACTGTAGAAATGTTTAGGAGAAAGGATCCGGTTTGTCAGAGGAATACTTTCCGTTTCGCAGGGAAATTTGCCGAAATTTCTCTTCACCCACGTTACGGTATTCTTGCCGTGCAGTCTACAAGATATGGTAAGCTGCCATACGTTGTGGATTAGTCGGCATTAAGCATCGCTGTTCTTGTCATGTTTTGTTCTTCTGCTTCTATGATCACCAACTTGCGCGTAAGTTGAAAGATGAGCGCCGTCGTCAGAAAGCATCCTGTAGTCCCACTGGGGCTGAAGACAAGGGTGGCCCTAATAAAGTATCTGATTGCTGTGATGGATACTAGTAGGTTTTGGGTTTTTTATACACGACTGGGACGAAGGGGAATATCGATTTTCTGCAGCTGCAATAGCGTGATGAAGAAGTCACAGTATTCCTATGGTTTATTTATTTTTTTATTTTTTTCTGTGAATGATTGATTAGCTATGGGGTGCACTTTTTGTGACAGCCAATTGGTATACATGGAGTCCCATTCAGCGTGTTGAAAGTTGATGATTGATTGCAGTGAAAACGAATTTGAAGAGGGATCCCATTCATGACTCTGATGGATATGTGAGTGTATGTGTGTATGTATGTGTGTGTGTGTGTTTGTGTGCTTACAACATGTCTAGTGAAATTTGAGTCTGAAAATATGTTTGGTATGAAGCAGAATACCATGATAAGATTTTATTGCAGTTATTATTACACAAGCTGTGATGTAGTTCACACAAAATTGGTTCACAACGCGAGTCAAACCATCACTAGAAGTTCAACAAAACTACTGTACAGAAAGAAAAATGATTCAATGACACATCTCTCTCTCTCACACACAATATCGTGATTCGTACAGAGCATGATGACCCAACCATTCCTGAGGAAAAGGGACAGACAAGTCTATGCAGAGCCCCTTCAGAACCCAGGTCTAGCGCTGTAGCAGAGCTACGACACTGTTGTCGTCTCATGTTTATCTTCTCCAGCACAAAAATCTCACACATACTCACCGTTTTCGTTTCCATATCCCAGTTTCGTCCAGATTTTGTTTTAAAAAAAATTGCAGACCTAGTGCTCAAAACCCAAACCCTACTTCCACCGCTTCATAAACGTGTCCGAAGGGGGCAACCGTCACTACCTTCATTGTTGCTGGTCCACCATTTTCTACTCCCAGAAAATTCGAACAATGCCACATCCAATCCAAAACTCTGACGTCTGACGTGCATCAACACGGAATATACCGAACCTAGTCCATTAAATCAATAAGCACGCGCATGAAAGTTGTCCGAGCTTTGCAGCCAAGCCGACTCGCCTGCAACCTTGTATCCAATTGCAATGACTTCGCATCTATAATGATAAAAAAACAAAGCATGGAACGCTATCTAAGCAACAGCCCACCATACGATCCTCAACCGTGCAGTTAAATCTGGAGCTCTCTCGACCCCACCTCCAGATGCAGGCCCCTTTCTGCGCAAACAGCAGCCACGAGACAAAAACAGTGCATCTGCGCCGTGGAAACACTTAAGATGCTGTTGAATCGAGAGGTCACGCCCCGACGTTATCCAGGCTTGCGTGGAGATCGAGGGATCAGAACACATCTATCATCCATCCTATCTGTAAGCTACGGCCCATGCCAAGAATAGGGTTGCAGTGAAGCGCAGTTTAGGGCACCCAACTTGGTTTTGTTTGTTGCCTAGGCCAGACGTGGTGGGGATGGCATCCCGCATGTGGGGAGCGATCCATCCGATGGGCTTTCTATTTTCGCGCAGGACCGACAATGAACTTTTCGAGCTTTTCCTGACGATAGGTTGTGTAGCCGTCGATGGTGGCGTTGTTGGAAATCAGGGGTTATCAATTTTGCAGGTCGGGATTAGTGCCCTAAACTCCACTGACGTCGTTGGGAGATGCTTCCATGGGTCGGGAGCTGTGTCTGGAATTGCATGATCTCAGCGGAAAAGATCGGGATCATGTCTTCTGGATAGGCTTGAAGGACCAGCGCTGGAGACAGGTTGGATGCTCCAGCTTGTGAAGTGCTTGTAGTTTCACCCTTAATTCTGGAAAACTTAGCCGTTTCTTACATTGTATTGATAATGTTTGAGGTGATGCGTGAGCTTCGTATCAGGGGCGCACATACTTCACCTAGACGGTAAGTAAATGGTTATTGATTAATCCACTTTCATGAGCTTATATTTAATGGGTAAATTCTATGGTAAGAAAAACGTTCACATCTCTGTTTTACTCTGGTTGAATTAGTTAGTTGCTGCTGCAATTGCATGACTTGATTTGTATTGTTAAACGATAAATTTGAGCTGTAAGATTCTAATTATAAACATTTTGCGCATATTGTTGGTTTGAATCTTCAACGATAGCTGGATAAGTAGGTTTTGTGTCTTCGAACTAGTAATTGCAGCAGTACGTGCTGGGCTCAAACCATAATAAAATTATCCAAATTCTATATTTGAGTGTTACCCAACTGGCCTTCGATTATAGTAGTGGTCATTTGAATCTTTTCGATTCGCAGACTCCTGAAATTACTTCTCAGTGTTGTGGCGTAGTTCAATTCAAAGTTCAAGCAGGAGTTGACTTTTGCACGGCAGGGAGAAGCTATTTCAGGTCGGTTCTGCCCCCGCCATTGTTTATTCTCATTTTTTAATTTCTATTAGCCAAGTGGGATTTATTTCAATAATTCACCTATCTGAACAAATGAGTATTGAATATATTTTTAATTTTCTATTTGCTCTCTAGGATTTCATTCATATATATATATATATATATATGCCAATGTTGACTTTGGCACTTACAAGTACAACTTGGATGTTCTACTTGATAGTCGTCAATCAAGACTTTGGTACTTAGAGGCTTTGGTCAATCTAAAGTCCAGCCGGTTGGACTAAAAAAAAAAGGATCTTTGAGTTACTTGACCAAATTGGAATTTGATTCAAAAAGTTTTCCAAATTTGTGAGAAGTTGTTGTCAATTCAAATATAGTAATTCAAGGTTAGTAAATAAAAATTAATTTTCACAATTTAACCAAGTTTAGTAATCAACTCAAGAAAATTCTCAAACAAATTAAACTTGAATTGACTTTAAATAATCTTAACATAATAGACTTCTACCAAATAAGTAAGTTGAATAGAGTCTTAGTTTGACAGAATTCCATAATGACCACAATTATAAGCTAAGATAAGATAAAATTTTACTACATAGGAATAAGAAAATGAGAACAATGTTGAATTCATTCTAAAATTGATCAAGGTAGATAGAACATTAATTTTTTTTATAAGTTTGGCAATTACTAAATACAAAAGTAAGTTGGTTATATAGTTATATTGCTTCTAATTAATTACAATAGATAGCCATTTTGCTTAAATAGCTACTTTATTACTTTGATTTAATTAGTTCTACTCAAAGATTCAATTCTTTAAGTAGGTCAAGTACATTTGATTTGTCATGAGATCTTATTTAAATCTAGGTTATCCAATAAATAGACCTTATTTTTTAGAATTTATGTATTGTTTAGATCCTACTAGTCTTGGTGTGTCTACTATCTAAATCCTATTGATTTAAGTTTAATGCCAAGTATATAAAAATAATATACAAAATTGGAGGTGTATGATAAATTAATCTAGATTATGAGATATATTTTAATCTTTTCACTACAATATAGATATATAGAATAATAAGATTATTATAAATATTGTCAAAGTTAATTTTTGTAGAAAAAAATATTATTAACAAATACATAAAAAATAATTGCTAAAAGGGAGAATAATTGACATTACTTTAATTAACCATCTTATCCAATGCTAACAGAAAGGTAAGTACATTACAAAAAGAGATTGTACCTAATAAGAGCCATAACACTCTTCTTGGGACTTATACAAATGTACTACTTTGGCACTTTTATACATTTGTATAAGTATCAAAGATTTTTGACACTTTGGCAATAATTTTTACTAATTTTTTAAAATTTTAAAATTTTATAAATTCATAATAAATAAATAAATAAAAATGAAGTTTTAGTAAGTTTTAGATGTAATTATTTTAATTAATTTAGTATTTTTCCTTAATTATAAATATTATATTTAGCTCTTAAAGTCAATATCTTAAATGATCTTATATTCATATGTATTATCTATTATAATTTTTAAATTATTAGTCAATAAATAAAAGAAGCCTAAAAAATTAATCTCTTGATTTTTTTAGTGATTTTTGTAAATATATAGAATTTTTAAATTGATATAAATTTATTTTATTACTATAAAAAATCACCAAGGTAGAGTAAAGAAGTTTGTAAATTCATATTAGTATCTTGAATACATTAGAATTTTTTTTTAGATTTTTTTTAGATTTTTTAAGGAATTTTAGAGCATGTTTTCATGGCTTTGGTAAAAATAATTTCATTACTTTGAAAGACCATTACGAAGAATTGAAGCGAGATTTGTAAGTCATATACAACTTCTAGACTAATTGAATATTTTTGAATATTTTAGTGTAGTCAAAATTACAAAAAAACCATGTTTTATTCATAGAAATGATGGTAATTAGTAGCTAGAATATCACTTATAAGAAGAGAGGTGCATATGTCTCTTTTGGATTATAGCATCTTGGATGTAGGTGGGAAGATAAGACCAAAATCTTGTGGATCCTTGAGAAAATCTTACACACTACATTTTGAGCCTTCACAAGCCTTGTGCAATTAATCAATTGGTATATGGATCAATTAATAATCTATTCTAAATTAACTAATTATCTTTTAAAAAATGTATAAATAATAATCTTAAAAAGAAACTCATTTAATGTTCAAAGTATCTTGCAACTATGCTAACTTCATTTGTTAAAAAATGAAGATAATGTCTTGTCTATATTAGTAGATTTTTGTGGCTTCAAAAAACTATTACTTAAGAAATTTCTATTCCTAATCATTGGCATTTACAACCAATTATGTTGTGCTAGATTCATATTAAAATAAATCTATACAAAGTATGTATTTGTACATATACTAAAAGAATAGATGTATAGAAGATTCAAATTTAAAATAAGCATACACATTTTGAGTATAATATCTTTAAAAAAAATTGATATTTTTTTGATATTTAATAAATGATATATTTAATAAATTCATAAATAATTTTTTATTTTATATAGTCTCATCTAATTTTATATCTTAAATTTATATAAATAATTATTTTAAATATTCAAAAAACAACAATGCTTTAAAATGTGTAAAAAATCAGTCTTAAAATCAAATTACTAACAAGAAGAAAACTAATAATAATAATTATAAAACCTTTGAAAAAAAATAGATATGTTTATTAGTTATAAATATTCAAAAAAAATTGTAAATTGAAAAATCTTTTGTAGCATTTCAAAATTGAAAAAGGAAAAAACTGTCTACATATTTTTTTAGAAATTTTCAGTCTTTTAAAAAATATATTTTATAATTCCGGGAATGAATTCGTATTCAATTAAAATAAATTTATGTGCAAGGTCATTTAAAAAATAAATCCAAAGAAATACAAAAAAGTAATAGCACCCAGAAAACAGAGGCGAAAGATGTGCCTAATGCTTGCAAAATCCAGATCAGAAATCGCATTTTAAGAGTAGTTGGGTGCTGGTCATTGATGGGCTATTGGAGGACCAAAAGGACGAAACTTGCTAAAACAAACAACTTTACAACTTTGTTGCTGATCTGGGTTGCTGATCTGGGTTGCTGATCTGGGTTGCTGATCTGGGTTGCTGATCTCGGAGCTTCGATGACCCATATCCGAATGCCTCTCCCATCGACAACTCTCGAGTTGGTTTCAGATTCTCTGTAATCCTGCCACACAAGACACCTACAGACACTTACTTTGGAAATGAGCGAGAATGAGTAATTGTGGGGCATATAGATAGCAATTTTTTCATCACTGACCAAGCGGCATTTCTGACGGAAACTCGTATATGTGTTAGATAAAGAGTCATGAAAGCCTGGTATTGATTATGTGTCAGAGTGTCGGATTGTTGCAGTGATATGAGTTGTTTAATGAAAAGTATTGAGTGGACTCCATCTCCTTAGCAAATGCCATTCCGCTCGAATTTAGAAGAACATTGCATTGAGAATGATCAGCGGTTTCGATCTGGAAGGAAGTCGTTCCACAAAACGATTGCGCATATCTATTTCTTCATCAGAGAAGGCCACTGAGACATAGTCGTTCATCCGTAGTTTGCAAAATCATATGACTGTCAAATTGCTAACACTGCCCAAACCGTGATGGAACCATTCAACAGTCTAGATCGCATCCAGTGTTCAGTGCGTCCAAGAAACGCTTCGTGTAACTGGATGCGGTGATTGGGGACATCCACAAGAAGCACTAAGTTTCAGCCCTAATTAAGTTTGCCTTGAAAATCGTTGCAAAGTGAAAGTATAGAATGTCAAATTAACCAATGCGCCACCTGAAGATCTGAGGTATCGCATCAAGAGGACTAAGACTGTCTATTCTACAATTTCGTAGCTCCCACAGCAAAGGTGTCAATCCTGGTAAAGCTAAAAGACTGAGTAATCCGAAGGGAGCAGTGCTAGCTGTGCGGTAGTGTGCGAGGAGTTGCATAATCTGAATTTCGGTTCTATAAACTCACTAGATTGCACTGCTCTCGCATTTGGACGAAGGCATATTGGATATGCTTGGGTTCTTGTAGGGGACAAGCAAGAGAAATGAGGTCAGTCTTAAAAGGTGTTTATAAAAGCTGTGTTGGAAATTTATATGCATGTTGAAAACGCAAAAATGGCAAATAAGTAAGAAGAATATTCATAACCTTTATTAAAAAAAACAGTAGGTTGAATCGTATCTTTGCTTCTACCGGGTGGCTTTAAGGTCCTGTGCTGAAATATCGAAGTAATACAGAATTCACATCAAAGACCAATAAACTTAACCTCATGATCTCAAACTGCACCTTAATTGCATGCACTTTGGGGCTTTAATCGTCTCTAGAGCACAGTATGGATACAAAGATGGCAAGGATAATGAAATTGTCAATGAAATTAGTTTTAGATGAATAAGTACGATTAGATGAATATTAGAACCTATGTGGCAAGGGTAAAGCCCGGGCAGTTTTTGCCCATGCCATCACAGCCGAGGACGTCCTTGTAGTTTCTGGAGATCCAGAATTGATCATAAACTTCACCGTCCCTGCTCTTCTTGTATTCGAATAACAATGTAGAATGATTGAAAGCTGTCAACTTCGTGAATCCCCAATCCAGATCTTGTTTCACACTCCAAGATGGAATAACTGGGCTAAATGATTCCAAATCACAGCCTCCACCACCTGCCACAATGTGAATCGTAGCGTTGAACGTGCCCGAGTAGTGGTCTTTTTCAGTGCTCACACATTGGCTCTGAAACAGATCAAAATTATACAATAAGAACGCTAGCAGGAAATAATAGCAAAACAGAATACTAATGATCATTCTAAACAGACGCTGCAGAACAAAATTTAGATCCCCACAATTGTTTTTAAAATTCAGGCAATCCAGTGTCAGTATCTCATGGACAAAGCACCAGGAAATTGATCTTACATCAGTAATGTATAAAAGAAAAAAAAAGAAAAAGAAAAAGAAAAAGAAAATAAATACAAATAAACAAATTATAATTCACCAGCAACACTTACGTCATATGCAGGGCAAATTCGCTCATAGTTGTGCACATGGCCATAGAAAGCAAGGTCTACTTTGTATTTCTGCCAAAGCTTTTGCAAGCTCTCTCTGCCAGAGGGCTCTGCATACGTGCCTTCCAATGCGTAATAGATACCAGAAGAGTACCCCAGCACACGATGTGCTAGAAATATCAACCAGGGTTGGCGTTGCCGATCGGCCTTTGCAAAACACTGCTCAAGGAACTTGTATTGTTCACTGCCTTCTCCCCATTCCATTTCAGTGTCGGCAACACAGAAGTGGAACATACCCCAATCTGCTTCATACCTGTACGATCAACACAAGTTGCTGTCAGGCCCAGTTCACTTCCTAATACGTAATAGATTCCATGACAATCAAACATCGGAGTTTTACTGACTAACAAATCCAGCTGCTTGAATACAAACAATATGCTACAGAAGGCAAGTGTGCCAATTATCCTTTTCCCAAGTTTGTTGTTGCAACAAACATTGAAGCAACGGCAAATAAAGATAAGATTAATTCTGTCTGTCGTAACAAGAAATCTCTCGCAGGGTTAACGATACCAAACTCGAACCAATAGTTGACACTTATGCAAGAGAGGATTCTACTTTGAAGATCTGATCCCAGCACATTCCTAAGTCACTACCATGCGTAGAAACTTCAACCGATGGCATGACCACTGGAGCACTCGAAACGCCTGTCTTACCATGATTTCGCTTTATTAGTGGTTGGCATGTGGTACATAACTTGCGTTGGTACTCCACATTCGCCTCCAGAGTCTCTGTTTAGATAGTATGAACCAGATCCCGGGTAATCTCGCTCATGATTTCCACTGCGACAACGAAATTCAACCTCTCTTAGAAGAAAATTCGTAGACCTCGTGAACATTCATATCACAGTTTGCAGAAATGCTGCATGGAAGAATCGAACCCTTAGCAACAGAAGACCCGACACATACTTTGTTACCATGTAAGGGACACGGGCTGCAATGTCTCCTACTTGCTCGTGAAATTGGTCCCACTCAGACATGTATCTGTACAGAAAATATGAACACAAATGGTTAGATACTATAAGCGGTATACAGAGCTAGCAAACTTCTTGATTGGTGGAATATCTCAGTCATTACTACCAATCTGAAGAAGCCGTATGATATCCTTGTTCCTAAACATGTGTAGATATTGAAAAGTACAAATTCTTTCGCTTTCTCAAAAGGTACATACGGTGAACGATGATGCTTGATGTGAATACATCAGTAATAAATCTAAAAGTTTTTACACTGAGAAAAAGGATAGCGTTTATTTCCCCTTTAAATGGTTGGGTTCCTGAGTGTTACCCGTTTGCATAAGCCAAATCTCCGATGTGGAATACAATGTCATAGTTGTCCAGGTCCTTAACAAGTTGATCAGTTGTGTTAATAGCTCCGTGCTGGTAATCGTTGTATTCATTTGATCCGTCTCTTTCGTTCTAAAGGCACCAGTGTTGATGTTCAGGAACGAGAATGCTCAAGGTACCACAACAACTCAACCATTTAAAACGAAGTAAAATAAACTAGAAATAAGTTGGAGTAGCAAGCTTTCATCACATTAATTCACAATCCATGCTGAAAATAAAAACAAGTGACCAGTAGCCTAGAAACATGATACCTTTCCCATGTCACCTGCACAATACAAAAGCAAACCCCACATACTTCAGTATTGTTTTGGAGCACAACCATAAACATTCAGCAGAAAGGATCACGTAACTTCAAGACAAACTCAGCGTCTAGACTAGTACCAAATATCACCACCCGCTGCACTGTGTCTTCGCCCAGAGCAGGAGCAGATGTGAAATGATACTTCGGACCCCAAACATGTTCGCCATTCTTCATCCTGTGTCCCACCTTGTAATAGTATCTGCCACCACCATCCCAACGTCAATAATTTGAAGTAGCTCCCAATGAGATTCATTGAACTCGTGAATAAGACTCAGAACTTTCGTTTCAGAGGTTTACGGAAAAAGTCAATCTTCACCTGGTGCTAGGCCAGAGCTCCTTCAGATAAGAAGTGTGGAAAAAACCTGGATCTCTCCAGCCTACCGTACTAGCGGGTGAACCTGCATTTATTTCAGAAACACTTTTAGCAGTTGGGCAGAATCTGTGAGCTTATACAATTTGCAACTTGCATCAAAATAGCCCGAGGTAACTGATTTGCAACCCGAACTTATAACCTGAGACCTACCGCACATATCCTGTCGAGTGAAGGTTAACGTGCTAGCGGGCGAAATCCATGAGTCTTTGCCAACTTCGGTACCCCACTGCACCACCGCATCTGCATCTTTCTTACCATATCCACTTGTCCACGTAACTGTCATCTGTACCATATTTGCAAACCCTTCCAAACTAGATTAGAGGATCAATTTCACAGGAAAAGAAAAGGAAAAATGAAATAATTTAAATCAACGTTGGCATCGACACGACGCTGATTCAAGTTCAGCCAATGCTGTAACCATTCATCACCAATTTCTACGCTGCAAGTTTCATTCTAGAAACTTCAAAACTTTTCTACAAGATAAATAGTAATCACATCTTGTCGTACTTCCTCTGTTAAAACATTTTTGGGAGTAAATTCTCTGTAAGTGTAAAAATGCCAACTAGAAACTGGTCTAGTCCGAGAAAAAAGGTTTGAGGATAATTAGTCTAAGTTGCTGATCAGATGAGGGATAAAATAGACAACACTATCTCCACGGTGATCTCATTTTAAATCATCAAACACTTTAAGTCACAATTAGATTGAGTCGCTTACTATATCCCAAGAGGACCCAAGAGCCAGTCGCGGATATACTGGCGCATCTGCATCAGTAAAAGATATTGTGTTCGAGATTGCCTCCAGCACCGGCTGTTTCCCACATGCATTACCAGAGAACCTTTAAGTGTGGCTTCCTTTAAATCCTTTCCATATGCGGCAGGCCAAGAACTAGCGAAAAGGTAAAGGTATCCAAAGCACTTAAGACTTGAATTTATCCTGTCTGCAGCTTTAGGACTCACTAAGAATACTTGCTCGTAAAGAAGGAAGTAGAACATATAAGAGAACAGAAAGACATATACAGCATTGTTGTATTGATATTGTTCATGCACAGCTGAACACGCAAGAAGCAAGAACTGTAATGAAAGGTTGAATAAGTAAAGGTAGACCGAAATTGAAGGTTGGAGAAAGAAAGTGCATACATTTGTAATGCCTCCGGAGAAAAAGCCAAAAGCATAGTCAGCTCGCTGCTTGATCAGTCGGAAAGTCACAGATCCTTCTCCTTGAGTCACATAATTCGGTGATGAATAATTCGCATATTTATACTGCAGTTAGAACATGTTTCGATAGTGAATCTCATTTACACCTCATTAATGTACCCAACGCGAAGTATCCTGACACATACAGCAATAATCACAAACAAGCCAATAGGGATACAACTTTTGTAGAACTAAAACTAAACAAAAATGAGCTCTTACTTTGATGGGAGCTTGGCACATGTAAGGCTCGTATACTCTGCGATTCAAATCATCCATGCATTCTGATGCACTGTGCAGGTCGAAAATAAGCAAGTTAATGAAGGCACAGTTGAGGGCATGATAATTCCTCTTCTTTCCAAATTGATAGGAGTTCCATTGTATATGTTTACCCAGAGATCCACATTATAAAGCTCATACCTTCACTCCCCTTGATCCATAACAATAAACAAAGGAGTAGAATTACAGCTGACTCCACCCCCAATTTGTGCATTCAAAGACTTAATCATACAAAACCACATACTTGAATTTTGCTGGTGAAAATACTCCAATCCAGTCTGATTCACTTGCACCAACAGGCTTGTTGTACTTGACGGTGACATATTCTGCCGTTTCCCCCTGCCAACACAGAAAGTTTCATTACTTGATGTCCTCGTGTGGACAACAAAGTCAGGCGAGAAAAAGCAAAAAGTGATTGTACTCTAATTTCCAAACATATAAATACGCTTAGCGAGACGATGGTATGATCAAGTGGCAGTGAAGTACCTTCTGGCCAAGAAGAATTGGGTTCGCACTTATTGTAATTGATTTATCCAATTTCTGAATTGTACGATGAATAGCAATCTTTGACAGTGGCTGAGTATCATCCTTCAAGATCTCCAACTCCCAAAGACTCGTGGCCTCATGCGCCAAAACGGCTAGTACGAAAAGTACTAGCATAATTTTCGTTACATTCCCCATAAGGGTTCCAACGCCACAGCGATGCCGTCCTGCGTTAATATATATTCTGCAAAAGCCACCGTACCAGCAGGTCTGTTAACTGAAAGATTGTTGAGAAGATCGTGATTTCTCTATGCAAACGTCCACAGTTTAGGATTGGAAGCTCATGCACGAATTGGTAGACCTGTCGAATGTTTTTAGAATTCATAAGCTACAACTAGCTTCACAGAGCCATGGGAAGGTTAAGAAACTTCAGGAATCTCCCTAACTAATAGACAGAGAAAGAATATTGGGCACAAAGAGAAGAAAGGATGCGAACTGCAAGCCATACACAGGGGTCTAATCTAGAAGTATCTGTCGAGTTTTTTTCAGGATTTCACTTCCTCACAATGCAGAAGAACGACTTCGCCAGCTCTCTCACGACCATTTTGAGTCTCAAATATCATCTTCCACAAACAAGATTACTTCCATTCTCTGCTTCCCCAAATGAAATCACCGACGATTCCCCAACAATTTCCCAACTGAGAGGCGAGTTCGAGTTCCTCGTGAATTCACATGCTTCTCTTCTCTATCATCAAGGCGTTTCATACCTCACAAATCCAACCAAAATTGCACTAACTCCAACAGTCTTTCCCGTGGCTCAAAACCGACAAACACGAGATAGAAAAAGGGAAACTGTAGCCATCACTAAGGAGAGCAAACAATCCGCGCAGCACAATACCCAACAATACCCACAACTGCCACCATGAAAGCACGACAAATTCAGCAAAATCCACCTTCGATCTTCGCTCTCGTTGCAGAAATTCGAATGCAACAACTCGAGGCCACGATTCCGTCCTCTGCAATCTATTCAAGACCGTGCCCACGGCGTCCTCGTCGACTCAGCACACTGGCTTTCTCCCGGTTGTGAAGCATCATATGACCCCAAAAGCTCAGAAATTTCCTTGCTATTGTTACTATATGTATATATATATATATATATATATATATATCTATAGAGAGAGAGAGAGAGAGAGAGAGAGAATACTTTTGCGAGTGTGTGGTGAAATCGAAGTCACGCCGCGCAGTTGCACATCACACGTGAGTGCAGCTGTATTCCGTGGGCGCTGCGACGCTTTCCCTTTTACCGCATCCATGGGAAAATTAGGGTTTCTAAAGTATAAACTACACGGTTGTTGAAAAAGTTACTCTCAACTTTTTGTCGCCTCAATATCTTAACATTAGTTTCTGAATTTCCGGAGTTTTCGTGATTCTATTAGAGTTATGTTTTAACTTTTTGATACTTTCTTTTTGTAGAATTTTCTATAATATGAGTTCTTTTTTGTCATCATTTGTTTGGTTAAAATTATTGTTTTATTTGTTTGTATTAGTAGTTGCAATAAAAAGTACGTTCAGACTTTTGTATGTTTCAATGGGCTGTTGCCTTTAAATTCCTTGTTTGCAAAAATATCTTTGTGACTTATAAATACTATTTGAATTTTTTTTTTCTTTCTAAGGATTACACAAATCAACTGAAAGCAATCCACACAAGTCCTATAACATCATGCAAATATTTCTTTTTCTTTTTCTTTTTCTGTTCTTTCTTCTTCAAAATTGTAGTCTTCAAAAGATAGAATTATTATTATTAGAGAAATTTCATGAGAAATCACATCCATGTGATTCCGTAATCATAGAATTTTTTTAGAATAAATAAATAGTTTTTCGTAGTAAAATATTGTAGAATATGATTTTTCAAGTTATATTTTGTAAGAAGTATAGTTTTAAAAAAGGACTTATATACATTCTTTTTTTAAAGGAAGAAGTTGTTGGATTTTATATCACATTGAAAAAACATGTATTTCATCAAAACGAAAATACTAAACAACATGTTCTATTAAAGTATTAAGTAAAAAAATTATTTAATTTTATAAAAATATCTAAATACCTTTTTTTAGATTAAGAAATCAAGTCTAATAAACAAGAAATTATGTTATATATTCTCTCTAACTTGCAATATTTTGGTACTTACGAACATTGTATTTTATGTCTTTAAACATTGTACAGTTATACTTTGCATTAGTGTATTCTATACTTGTACCTTTTAAATTATCTTCTATACGATTTTAAAATAATACTGTTACATTGTTTAGATACATTTTGTTGTTGCTATTTATATTTTCAAACCAAAATGACATAGAACATGAAATAAGAATAACAATCAACATTAAAATACATATGTATACAAATTTACAACAAACTAATATTACAACCTCTATATTTTAATATAAATAATATTAAAATCTTTAATGTTTTCCATTTGGTAATTTATTCAAAAAGCATCAATCTAAATTCAAATAGCTATAATTTCAAAAAATAAACTAAACCAATACCAACAAACTCTTGGCCTACTCAAAAGTTCTTCAATTGGTTTTGAAATAATCAAAATCTCTAAAACTTATCTTATTGCAAAAAACCTAACAAAAATTAAGTAGCCCTTACAAAACTAAAATAAAAGAAAAATAAAATTAGCTGAAACTCATAATATATATTTTCAGAAATCTACTCTATATAGAAAAGCCAACACCACCCATTAGAGTAATAATTTCACTTAAAAGAACACGAACTTAAACATCACGGTCCACAAACCTCGTCCACACTGCGAAACGGGTTCTGGATTCTCCCGGTTGCAGAACAAGCCGCTGGATATCCACCGTTGCCTCGTGTCGGATGGTTGCCGCAGACGCGCGGCAACACGAGACAGTCGGCGCCAGCAGATCCGGCACGGAGCCACAAAAGCGTAAGTTACGACGCAGCGTGAGGGGTTGCAGTGGTATCCAAGTTGAGAGACAGATGCCAAAGGGACTGGACCCATGAAGCAGTTATTTTTACGAGGTAGCGTTGGTGGGGTGCCAGTGCCTGTGATGTGTCCCGCGTAGCTCCAGGAGAAAGTCTCCCCTCCAACAAAATCTGAACTGTCTGCCACAATATAACTAACTCCAAGTCTCAGCCGGCCCCCTGAGTTCCTCTTGTCTGTCTTGTCTTCGTCGTTCTGCTGCTCCTTGCAGAGGGCCTTGCATTCTCTGGCTTTTGCAAGGCTCTCCTTCACGTTGCCTGCACTGTTGTAACCAGTCCCGCAATATGAGAGAAATCCTTCACGTCCAAGGCGGGCAATGCGGCAACCAGATCGGCGCCAAGTTCTGGGAGGTAGGCATCTGCAGATAATTTTGGTGATGCCGGTGAAATTCAGATGCTAGAATGCATCTGTGGCATTTAGATACAACATGGGTTGGTTCACAGACAACAGTAGTTTGTATTTGTGGCAATCAGAGGTCACAGTCGTGCAATATAATCCAACTAGGTTAAGATACCTTAGCTTATGAATTTGCTCCCAATAAAATCCATTCTAATACATCTTGGTAGTAGTGCGGTGTGCTTGGAGAAGTTTCTTAAATTCTCCTCGATATGCGTATATGATGCCATGTTTGTCTCATAGAAATTATAAGACGGTGCAAGTTGCATCTATGAGATCCTGCAGCATGTCAACAATCCTCTGCCGCGTACTCGTCTCTGTGAATTGTGCCATTTCGGTAAATTGGGAGGAAAAAAATATGCTTCGGTCAAACAACGTTACCACCTGCAATCCACACGCTCAACTTTGTCCATATGCTCTGCGCGCAGGTGATATGCGATGAACATGGCATTGATCCAACTGGAACATACCATGGTGATTCCGATTTGCAACTGGAAAGAATCAATGTCTACTTCAATGAGGCCAGCGGGGGTCGTTACGTGCCCCGCGCGGTGCTGATGGATCTGGAACCAGGAACCATGGACAGTGTTCGGTCGGGGCCATACGGTCAAATTTTCAGACCAGACAACTTCGTATTTGGCCAAACCGGTGCCGGAAATAACTGGGCAAAGGGCCATTACACCGACGGCGCTGAACTGATTGATTCCGTACTCGATGTTGTTCGTAAGGAGGCAGAGAGTTGCGACTGCCTCCAAGGTACAAAATCACGGCACTCATTTCATCACCCCCCCCCCCTTCAATCTTAGGGCTTCCGGTAACCTTGCCCCAACCGATGGGTCATAAGTTGCAGGCTCATATTCAACGGTTTCACAGAACAATTTTTTTATTATTCAGTCACAATTTCGAAGGGACCATCTGAGATACTATATGAGTTGTTGTATTGTTTGATTGGCGAACAGGATTTCAGATTTGTCATTCCATGGGAGGTGGAACGGGATCAGGCATGGGGACGCTTCTCATCTCAAAGATTAGGGAGGAATATCCGGATCGCATGATGGTGACCTTCAGCATTGTACCATCCCCAAAGGTGTCGGATACAGTGGTTGAGCCCTACAATGCCACCCTCTCCGTGCATCAGCTCGTAGAGAATTCCGATGTGTCCATGTGCCTCGACAATGAGGCCTTGTATGACATTTGCTTTCGTACTCTCAAGCTCACAACGCCCACTTGTACGTATCTCCTTTTCTTCCTTCCTCAGATCCTCTCATTGCGCTCAGGTAGAACTTCTGGCACCGCCAGGAAGAAACATTTGAAGCGACGTGATCATCTCTGAAATCTCAATCGCAACCTAACGTCAACAATCACCTGAATTAAAGAACCAAATTCTATCTGCATTCTCTGCGATGTTGATCAATTAACAAATTTGAGAGATGCTCCAGACTGACTTTGTGGGTGTCGTGTGGGGGCTGCTCGCATGGGAGCAGTTGGAGATTTGAACCATCTCATCTCTGCAACCATGAGCGGCGTCACATGCTGCCTCCGCTTCCCCGGTCAGCTGAATTCCGATCTGCGGAAGCTGGCCGTCAACCTAATACCATTCCCCCGCCTCCACTTTTTCATGACCGGCTTCGCTCCGCTCACTTCCCGCGGCTCCCAGCAGTACCGAGCTCTGACCGTCCCCGAGCTCACCCAGCAGATGTGGGACGCCAAGAACATGATGTGCGCCGCGGATCCTCGCCACGGCCGCTACTTGACCGCATCCGCCATGTTCCGCGGAAGAATGAGCACCAAAGAAGTGGACGAGCAAATGCTCAACGTCCAGAACAAAAACTCCTCCTACTTCGTGGAATGGATCCCCAACAACGTCAAATCCAGCGTCTGCGACATCCCCCCGAAAGGTCTCAAGATGTCCGCCACCTTCGTCGGCAACTCCACCGCCATCCAGGTTCTCTCCTCTCCCTTTTCTCCTCTCTTCTTCCCTTGCTCACCATCTTTCATTCCCGCTTCAACAAACTCGCACAACCCACCTCCATCTAGCCCAGTGATGACTCCTTCCCTTTTCCGTTCCATCCCTTTGCCTGTATTTTGCATTGCGCAGGAGATGTTCAAGCGCGTGAGCGAGCAATTCACTAGCATGTTCCGGCGCAAGGCTTTCTTGCATTGGTACACGGGCGAGGGCATGGACGAGATGGAATTCACGGAGGCGGAGAGCAACATGAACGATCTGGTGTCCGAGTACCAGCAATACCAGGATGCCTCCGCCGACGAGGAGGGCGAGTTCGAGGAGGAAGAGGAGGCGGCTTGAATATACCACATGTGGATATATATAATCATCCGCAATATTTCATCCATACATGATCGTTCATCCATCCTTCTCCGTCTCATACAATTTTTGTTGGGGCCAGTCCTCATTCTACTCATTCTGCAAGCTGTTTTATCAAGCCAGGCTCCATTCTGCTCTAATTTTTTGTTTACAACTCCAAGAAGCTTGTTACGCTAGACCTTGATATGAAGAGGAAGAAGTGGAATTCTATCTAATGAAGAACCTACTATGTGATTACTTATCTAATTTTTTTATCAACGTACTACCATTAACTTTTCAGTGGCTGTGGTTCACGATTATTCTCTTTGAAACATTTTCTTTTTCATGCGTCGTTTGAAAAATTTGATGTGTTTATTTTTATGAAAATTAATTTAGTATTTGTGTTGTATTTTTAAAAATACCAAAACAATTATGGAATAAGAGTTCATGTTTTTTTTTTTTTAAAAGTGAAACAGAATGAACTCAATAAAAAAAAAAAACACACACACGCACACATACATACAAACACACTCTAAAACAAGTTTTCATGATGAATGATTAAATATTTTGATAATTATGAAAAATTATGAAAAATGAAAAATTATGTAATTTTTTTGAAAATTAAACGTTAAATTTTTAGCCATTGGAAAGTTATGCTTATCAAATCAATTTTATATGCATACAAATAAAGCATTTTTTTTTTTTTATTTTTAAACATGGTTTTTAAGTATGCAATTCTGAAGTATTTATTTGTCATTCATTTTGAAAGATTCAGATTCTAGAAGTACCAAAAAATGGTCATAAACTAAAACAAGCTTCGGAGTACAAAACAAATATTATAATAAAACAAATATATCATGCTATGTTACATGTTCCAATTAAAAGTATGGATATGGCAATATATATTTTTTCTTCTTGAAATTTTTTTATTCAAATAAAACAATTCAGTATATTTTTTTGAAAGCTGGTATGTTTAATGGTTGAGAACATGATAACTTGAGGTAAATAAATATAATTTTTTTATGATGCTTTTACCAAATCAAGTGTAAGCTTCAAAAATAAAAAAAATATTACAAATGCAGCAGTGAGTTGAAATTGTTTCATAAGAATTTGGAAATAAATAATTATATATATACATACATATATATATATATATATATATATACACACTAATGGAAATCCATGCCATTGGGCATGGTAAAGTTGTACAAAGCTCCCACGAGTGGTCTCTTCCAAACTATGGGGCCCCTACAAAGCCCCACATTTCCTTCTTCACAGCCAATGAGATGGCTTCTTTGTCTTCTACCTAAGTTGTTATATACATACATACATACACATATATGATTACCAGTTACATGCCACATACAAATGATCATTGTTTTGAGGAGGTTCATATATTTATATATATATATACATACATAAATATGTATATATATATATATATATATATATAAAACATTCAACTCTTCAAAGAAGAATGTTGAAATGCAGTGTTAATTTTTATTTGTGTTTACTGGTATCTCAATTAGGCTGAAGTTGTGTTGCACCTACAATCTTCCACGTATACATATATATATATATATATATATGGAACACCAACACAGCTCCAGAGCATGTGGGAACGGTTGTGCCGAGTCACACAAACATCCATCCAATGATTATCATCCACATGGAATACACAGCTGGCATCGACCATTATCCACCAGGGCTGAAGCAGATAGCAGAGCCACTGGATCGAATCTTCGGAAAGATTCCAAGATTCCACAGAGTCGAGTTGCACGTGCACCAGGAGGTAAGCGTTTAGTGAGCCTCCTCATCCCGGCGCCGGTTCCTTCGCTTCCTCTCCGAAGCGTAGCGGATCTGACAAGTGGGGTCTCTATAGATTTGCACCCGAAACTGAACTGAGCAGAGAGTGAAAGAGAGAGAGCGAGAGAGAGAGAAAGTAGTAGTGATGATCAGTTGTGTTGGAAGTGTGTCGGTTTGACAACAAGTGACGTGAATTGGAGGCGATGGCGCAACCTGGGAGCGAGGGCTACTACGGCACGTTTCAGAATCAGCAGGGCATGCCGCAGCCTGTTCCCCCCACTCAAGCCCCGAATTATTACCCGTCTGTGCCAGGTGCGTGAGAATGGATTACCGACAGCACTAAAAAAAATGCAGAGGATGCTTCTCAATGTGTAGTCTTGGCTCTGATCGGTTGCAGTTGTGCAGATTGTGTGGTAGAGGAGTGGTTGAGTCTCGGGACATGTTTTTATTTGTTGTCCGTATTTTCGATGTGGGGGGTGGTAGTTGTTTTGTTAGACGGTTTAGAACAGGTTTTTGGTCGTCAGTAATGTGCAGCTTAGGCACGCCAGCGTAGCTTTTGTTCACGATTGCTCCTGTGGATGTGGGGTGGTCGCTAATATGATGCACAAATGTTATGGCGTCAACAACGTTTTAGGCTCTTAGTTTCATTTAATGGATGGTACAGAGGTTTGGTTCAAGTAAAATTGTGTTTGCTTTGGTGATATTCTATCCAAATGTGCTTGACATGGTATGTTCATTTGGGGTTTTCAGGATATCCTGTAGGTTCAGCTGCGGAAGAAAATCGTTACAGACGAACAGATGATTCAGATCGTTTGCCCTTTTGTGGACTTGGCTTTGGTTGGTTCTTGTAAGAACTCAAACCCTAAGGAACTTTTTTGCCTTCTTGATTAGGGGATACTGCTAGTTAGCTGTAGGGGTGTTATGATGTGATACGAATGGTAGTGTTGATGGTGGCAGCTTACGATGATTATTTGCTTTTACAATACTCGTCTAATGGTTTGACCCTTTCTTGTTCAGGTTTTTGCTTGGATTCATCATAGCTTCAGTACCGTGGTATGTCGGTGCCTTCATTTTCTTCTGCCTCAACTACGACCACAGAGAGGAGACTGGATTGATGGCTTGCACTATTGCGGTACCCTTCTTTTCTTCAATACAATTTTTTAAGGATTTTGGCATGAGCTCTTAATCGCAGACAACTGCTTATTAAGGAGAGCCGCGACAGACACGTTCATTAGCACGGTTTTGGACATGTTTATGATTATTGTGTCTATCAAGCATGACAAATGTTCTGTTTCTTTGCAGGCCTTAGTGTTTATGATTTTCGGAGGTACACAGGTGGCAACCCACAACTTGGGGATATTTCAGTAGTTCCAAGAGATTGCGTAACATGTTGTAGATGTAGTGTATGTAATTTGTTTCCAGCGTGTGGTGAAAATGGCCTTCTCTGTACTATAGTATCATTTCTTCTGCCGTAAGCGGCAAGCAATTCTCAAATATAAAATTGTGCAAGTTTTCTGGTTACAATGCGCATTCTGTTGAAATTCTCCATTTACTGTCCTCAATTTCTTTGGGAAGGTTACGCGAGTCCTTAATGAGGAATCATGGAGCCAACTATTCCATCATGTAGTAATTTTGCGTCCATCAATATTGCAGGCTGCTTTGGAATGTGTAGCTGGTTTCTCAAATCACACTTTGTTCAAAGTCCACCAGATCCAGTTATAAATTGGAATTTACACTTTCAATTGCTATGACAAGTAGTTTAAGTAGGAACCACAAGCCTAATGCATTCTGTGAATTACAGGATTAAAACCTATGAATTTGTCTTTGAGGTTGTGCACTGGCACCTTGAAATGAAGGACTTTTCATTCTAGCAACCTTGTTGAATAGTGAGTAATAAAATCAAATGACTCTTTAGGAGAACGGTTAGTCTCAAAAGTACAGGAAGCTGGGTAACGAGTACAGAAACAAGGTGCCTGGGAACAGCTGTCGATTAAAATATTGATTTAATCCTGAACTGCTAGATGAATGGGCAAGAGCACATGCACATGATCGTGGTCAAAGACTGAAAAAGTTCGTTTTCTTCATTAGTAACTGCCAATCTATGGAGATCCATGCGGGCGGAACGATCCTTATTTTAGGAGCTAAGTCGGAGGGTTGAATGGTACTGAAAATAGTATAGAGATATTGTGAGAGTAAATCTTGTTACTTGCTGAAGGATTGTAAAGTGGAAGATTTTCGACAAGGAAATCAAATAATAGGATTTTAATTACTAGTTTAGTAGATGGAATTGTGCATAAGTTGTGCGCTCTAGGGGGGAAGGGAAGGAGCAACGGGGAATAAGGAATTTTCACGGCATCAAGTCTAACACAGCCCTTAGAAACACCAACAGTCTATTTAATTCCAATGAAGAACACAATATTTTGAGGGTTTGGGAGTTTATAAATAAAATAGAAAGTCACATCTAATGAAACAAAATTTGGGTGATAAACTTCTATTTCAATTCTTTCGTAGCTGTGTAATTGTTTTTAATGAAAACAAAGCCTAGAGTAATAATTTGTGGACCATAAGAATGTTTGGACAAGAATGGGTTTTTTAGAGAGGTACATGGTGATTGTTTGTTTAGCCAAGGAAAAATCCTTTCAAAAAAAAATTGGTACTTGATTGTGCTATATTCAAAAAAAAGAAAAAAGAAAAGAAAAAGAAAGAAAGAAAGAAAGAATTACAAATTGTTTGAAAAATATATTTTAAAATTAGAAATATATTAAAAAAATTCAATGAAGAAATTTTTAGTTTTGTCTCTACTTACAATATTAGTCAAAATAGCCTTATTTCAACTATGTAATTCAAAATTTAATCTAAAATTCCTATAGAAGTTAGATTTTAATTAATATTTATAATTTAAAAACACTAATTTGGATTGTGGAAAAAAATATTATTATTTAAGTTCTACAAGATAACTCTATATATTGCACTTAATTTAAGAGGAATAAAAAGTTTTAATTTGTATAGTAAAAAATTAAATAACCTTGATTTTATACAACTTTAACATTCAATTAATGGTAAGTGTTAGTCACAAAGAAATAAAAAAATCTTTCTATTAAGTATTGGTTTTACTAATAATAAATCATATAATATGAATTTCTTATATATTATCAATATTTTTTAAAAAAATTAAATAACATGTAACATGAAAATAGAAAAATATCTAGAGATCAAGAAAAGCATCTCAATACATAGCTTGCAAGTAGATCTAATGGTCATCTTACAAATACATAATATTTAAATTAAAAAGAAAAAAAAGAAGGAACTATAACATGGAATTTTTATTTTATTATTGCAATATATCAACCAAATATAAAGTCTAATACTAAATATTATAAATAATTAATAACTAGAAAAGAAAAATAATATAATATAAATATAAATATCATAAGGCTAAAGCAAATAATTTAATAAAATTATAAAATATTAGTAAGAAAATAAAAAGAAACTACTTTCAAAAATAAAGCATTAGTCTAAAAATTAGAACTGATGAAGTCAATAAAACAAATATATCTTGTAAAGAATTAGAAGATGATATAATTTATATGCTAAATATGAATATATATATATATATATATATATATATATATATATATATATATGTAAATAAAAAATATTATTGATTTATATATCAATTTAAAATTTAAAATAACATAAAAAAACTTACATGAAAAAATTATTTTTAAAGTACTTTCATAGAATACATTATCTATAAAAAGGATCTAAAATCATAAGCACTTATAGAAGATAGTACTACATCAATAATGTTAAGATAAATTTAATATTAAAAAAAAAACAATTATAAAGAAGCTATTAGGAAAGACCTTCAATACTTGGTAAAACATCTATTTATATTGATATGTAGAACCTCCACAATTCATAACATTATACTTAAAATTTTGATTTTTACCACAATAAATAATTTGCTTGTATTTTTTATGGTAAAAATCCTTTTATTATATACTTTGCAAGAACATAAATAAAAAAAAACTTTAAAGAAGCAAAATATTCTTATGACATTCAAAAAAATATATATGAAAATCAAAGAAAAATACTACATAGAAATAAAATAATTATTATAAAATATAATAAAACTAAAGAAGAAAAGAAAGAATATAAAAAATGTGTTGACAAGAATGAAGAAAGCCTCATTCTTTTCTCCATATATAATATCTAACTAAAGACTTACTGAACAATGTTCTATAGGTTATTGATACATATTCAATATGTAAAACATGTATTTAATTTATTAGTAAGTTTTTAAGATATGCGCTACATGGTCAATTTGTACAACAAGAAATTAATATGTGTCTCATATAGCCAACTTATAGAACAAATTGTTAATATACATAATAATAGCCAACTTGTACAATAAATTATTAATATGCATAACAATAGCCAACTTGTTGGTATCATATATATATATATATATATATATATATTCTAATATTTATCTAAATAATATGAATAATTAGAAGTAGGTAAAAATAGATTAAGTTAATAATATCTTATAGAATATTTTTTTAAAAGCTTTATAGACATGATTTTATTTTTATACATGTCTATAGGTGATTGATAGATTAAACATTTAGCCAAAAAATTAGCCATATATCACAAGTGTTGATAGCTTATGGTATAAGCTAATCATGTAACGCACATATAAAAAATTTATCTTGTAAGTTAAGACACAAGTTTTACAAATTAGACACATATTGGAGAACCTGAAGAATATTGCAATGTAGCTCTTAGATAAATAATATATATAGAGACAAGAGTAAAGCCTTCTTTATTCTTATCAACTTCTTTTTTGTTTCTAGTTTAGTTTTAAAGGTTTCTAATTTTCTTGTCTTTTGGCTATAGCCATTTTAATTTTTTTTTGAATATATATATTTACTTATTTTTATCTTATCAACTTTTTTTGAAAAAAGTCTCATGTGTTTATTTGCCTTCATCAAGTTTTTGTCCTTGGTAGATCCAGAAGAGTCCATTTACAATATTATAACTTTATCTTTTCTTGATTAAGAATGGATTATTCCTTTTTCTTGATAAGACATAAATCTATTAAAAATTATAGATTATCTTCTTTTAAATTAACATTATTCTTTGTATTTTTTTTTCTTTACTGTCAAGCCCTCTCTTTTATTTAACTTGAGCAATATTAGATATCTTTTTTTTTTCCTAATATTATCTTAGTAGAGCTTATTGAAATGAAAAATGTAATAACACATATATAAGAATATTTAAAAGAATTAATGCTTGTAATGCATCAACTCGATTTATCACTATAGGAAGCAACGAGATTGACAGAAAGTAAAGATATAGAGATGATTGGAGCTACTTCAATATTTGTACCAAATCACGTTTCTTTTCATATAGTGGAATATGCCTTGAATGTTAGAATACCAAGAGTTATCATATTTAAGAAATTTGATGGTACAAAATCAAAGTTTTGAAGATTCATCAATCAAGTATAACTTGTGATTGAACTTCAATCTGAAAGCTATCCAACTTTAGGATCACAAGTCAAGTTCATTGAAATACTTCTTTCAAATTTATTATTATCATAGTTTTTATTTATTTTTAAATAAGAAGATTTAATATTGGGTAATTTAAAAGCCTTTTTGACATTTTTTTTTATTTTGATTTTTTTTTATCTATGCATGGAAAATATGATGCAATTCATGTTGAAACCAATAAGATCAGTATTTTACAATAAGACAATCAATTTGTAGTATTATATGCTTCATAATTTTAATAACATATAATTGATATTAAATAAGATAATACTACATTTATTAGCTAAATTTTCTACTAATTATAATATGAGGTAAAGAAATTGATGCTCAACTTACTTAATCCTCAGATATTTAATCAAATAATTGACTTTGCTATGAAATGTGATAATTGGATTTTTGAATTTTGATCTAAGAATTGCATAAATGGACCTCAATGTTTTTAAAAATCAATAGTAATACCAACGTCTTTTCAATACTTACATTGAAAGTAGAAGATTTGTAAATTGACATGATATATTTTAAACATCTTATTGAGCAAAAACAGACATATTGACAAGAATAATTGTACTTATATTGTGGAGAATCTAAGTACACTATTGAAAATTATTGTGAATTTACAAATTGACTTACTCATTATTTTAGAATAAAAGAATGCATTTAGAGTGACAAATTGTAACTATTAGAAGAATGTTAATTTAAAAGAGTTTAAATAAGAAAAAAATAGTTTTAATAAAGAAAATATAATTTAGAATAGAAAATCTAATAGAAATTTTTAATTTAAAAAGAAACTTAAAGGTATTAATTTAGCAACTTTAGAACATCTAAAAAGAATCTAAAATAGTCAAAATTCTTATATTATAGAGATTCAAATATCATATAGTATATGATAAATTATATACCACAAATTAAATATTATATGAGATGTTATATAAAATATTGTATAATAGTGGATATAGTATTGGATAC